GATCTCATTGAGTAGAAGTGCAGTGCACAAGAACCGTAACTCTGCCTTGCCTAATTTTTTAATTATCCCCCTTTGTTTATTTTACACTTTGAACTTTGTCCGGGACATAACTCTAAAAGTATAAGAGGTATCAACATGAAACTTTGTAGGTAGATAGATCTCATTGAGTAGGTGTGCAGTGCACAAGAACCCCGTAACTCTGCCTTGCCTAATTTTTGAATTATCCCCCTTTGTTTATTTTACACTTTGAACTTTATCCAGGACATAACTCTAAAACAATAATATGTATCAACATGAAACTTTGTAGGTAGATAGATCTCATTGAGTAGGTGTGCAGTGCACAAGAACCCCGTAACTCTGCCTTGTCTAATTTTTGAATTATCCCCCTTTGTTTATTTTACACTTTGAACTTTGTCCGGGACATAACTCTAAAAGTATAAGAGGTATCAACATGAAACTTTGTAGGTAGATAGATCTCATTGAGTAGGTGTGCAGTGAACAAGAACCTTAACTCTGCCTTGCCTAATTTTTGAATTATCCCCCTTTGTTTATTTTTACACTTTGAACTTTGTCCGGGACATATTTCTTAATGTATAAGAGATATCAACATGAAACTTTGTAGGTAGATAGATCTCATTGAGTAAGTTTGCAGTGCACAAGAACTGTAAAAATGTCTTGCCTACTTTTGGAGTTATTGCCCTTTGTTCATTTTGACACTTTGAACTTTGTCTGGGACATTACTCTAAAATTATAAGAGATATTAACATGAAACTTTGTAGATAGATAGGTCTCATTGGGTGGAAGTGCAGTGCTTAAGAATCATTACTCTGCCTTGCCTTATTTTGAAGTAATTGCCCTTTGTTTATTTTTACTTTTTGACTTTTGTCCTGGACATTACTTTAAAACTATTAGAGATATCAACATGAAACTTTGTAGGTAGCTAGATGTAATTGGATAGAACTGCAACGCTTCAAGAACCTAAACAAAGCCTGGTCTAATTTTGGAGTTATTGCCCTTTGTTCATTTTTTTTATACTTTCCTGTGTCCAGAACCTTCTCGGGGAGCATCACCCGGTTCAACCGGTTCTTGTTACAGTTTGCATGTACACAATTATTAAATACAACTAAACAGGACAAGAACGAAAGAGAATTTCCTCCCTCTGAAAAACATATGATATGTACACATACAGAATATGACAGAATAGTTTTTAATGTAAATTATAAAGAAAAGCAATAGTGTAAGATTACGTTTAAATATGCAGAAGTCATTTAGAAGTTAATTATTGTATTGCAATGAAAAACGACTATCTGTTAAATATAAAGAAAAAGAAAACGATAAATTGAATTGAATGGCATATGAAAGCAAATTAAAAAAATACAGAAGTTAACTTAAGCGAGCAGCCAAGAAATGAATAACTGGTATAAAAAGAAATACCAGACGATGTAAGCTGGGGCATAGGTTTGGTAATCCAGAAGCAGAATATTGATAACAGTTAAATTATAAAGGAATAAAAAAACGTTCAGTGCTATTTATAAACCAAGTTTTTCGAGTATTTTTATTTGGATAAACCTTACGTTTTTATTTTGAATGATATTGAATAAAGTTATTTGATTAGACCAAGTCGTACACAGACATTCCAACAACACATGACTCCCTATTATGACGTCTAAACACCAAGCTCAATATTCTAGAGATGCCATTAAAATTAGAACAAAAATCTATTACTTCAAGAGTTAATTTTTTTATTACGAATAGCGAACGATTACATTTTTAAGAGAAACGCGCAGTCCCCTCCCCCGCCCCTCTAAATGCGGGGCAAAAAATAACTGTAAATATATAAATGTATAATTTTATTCCCAGCTAAATGCATGTCAAATGCAGTCTTATTAAGCTTATATTTAAACACTGCAACAATAAATGCATTATTATATTCTTAATTAATTCAGTATACTTATGAGTGCAATTTTTACACAGTTAACACATTTTTGCACTGGGACTCTGACCTACACATATGGAGGGATTCTAATGAAACTATAGAAATATTCACCACTATGAGAAGCAGTGTCATGCAAATGAACCAGGTAACTAGGTCAAAGGTCAAGGTCACACTGAGAGGTCATTGAAAAACGCTTGTCCGGAGCAAATTTTCTACATGCAAAGAATGATTTCAATATAACATGTCAAGGTCACTAAAGATGATAAGATATCCAGATATTGTCCGGACATTGCCCAGAGCATATTTTCTATTTGTATCTATAATGCCCACATCTCTGACAAAAGTTTTTGTGACGTGCGTATTTTGCGACAATGGTGCCCTTGTTAGTAAGATGTATCATTTACACTCAATTCATTTCTGCATATACCTTAATCTTGTTAAATACAAAATACCTTAAACGATTATGATTTTAAAAAAAACATTTGAGAACGTTTTAATAAAAGTCTTTTACTATTTGACAATTTCATTACATTTTTTATTATTATTTTAGACTGAAACTAAAACTTAGAAATAGACAAACTTCAATTTTATTCGTAGTCAATTAATTTAATTAAAAACTAACGTGAGAATAATACATTGTAGAAATTGTCCCTAGTACATGTAGCAAAATGTTGAAACCAGGGATCGGGACTCCGACACCGGTACTTCTGTTCCAAGAACCGGACTCGAATGGTTCAGATCATATTCTATGTTTTTATCAAAATCGATCTAAAATTAAAAAAAAAGAATTGATGTTGTCGCGTTAGAAGATATTACATTTTGAAATGTCATTCATTGATATGTTTTAATATATTGTATAATATATTGGCAATGAAAGAAATATTTAAAGTTTACAGTTGAACAATTGTATCGCCATTGAAAATCACCTCAGTCCTGCAATTAAATATTGATATTTAAAATATATGTTTATGATTAGAGAAAAATGAATTTATTTTACAAACCATGTACATAAGTGTTTGAATTATCGATTAAGGCCTTCATGTATAAGCAGAGATTCGTAAGATATATTTAATAACTCGAAAAATAAGTCAGTAAATACATAATGAACAGAATTAGGTTTACAAAAAAAATCTTTTCACCTATTTCATTCTTGCACACTTTAAGGCCTGTCTTTTTTTCTTTAAATTGTTTATTTTAAAAAATGCTTCTTTTATCATAATGATAGTTTTTGTTGTTGTTTTTTTTAAGCCCAACAGGTAACTTCGTTTATTGTCCCCGCCATAGGTAAAGTAGGGTCGGGGATCCAACGGCTTTTTCACCTTACAAGTTTTCCAACAAATATATATATAATTACAATATAACAAGAACAAAACATGTAAATTGTAAATTATAATAATTCATGGGCTATGAAATTATGAAATGCTACATAATAATGAAACACGATTAATAGATATGATTAATATAATCAAGTACACAGAAGTATTGTTTTATCACTTATATATGATATAAGATATATATTAATATAAATTCACATTGATTGAAAAAAAAAACAACAACAACAACAAAATTGTTCGTATAAGAGGCCTGTATGTATGTTTCTCATTTAGGTTGTCTGATTATATTTTAAAAATCTTATATTTTTCTATAATTTCGAAAGCGGTATTCTGATATAAAATGTAAGGTTACTCATCATCAAGAAGGTTTTGCCACAATTTATATAAAAAAAATACATCTACATTTAACAAAGCTATATATTTTTGATTTTTTAATTATCCTTTTAAGTATATTACATATTAAAAATTTATATTTAAGTAATTTTGACAATTTTCTCTAAATTTTGTTTTATTAACATAGTATTTTGCTAATAATGTTACAAAATTCAAAATAGATTGTTTCCATAATACGAGAACAGTATGCTTTTCATGTCTGAAATATCAAATTCGACAAAATACTTATCTCTAAGCAAGTCTTTCGGTTCTAAATGAAAAGCATTGGTGTACGGGCATTGATAGAATAAATGTTCAATTTTTGCTCTATCAATGTTACAATATGAGCATAAATCATTATCTCAAATATCTATTCGATATAAAAATGTATTTGTCACAAGAAGTTTTTGATTAATCTTATACTGAAAATCTTTTCACAGTATTTAAGCTTGTACAATAATTTAAAAACTCCTTCTGTGATATAGGCCCCACATAATTTACCCATTTGTTAGGAATAACTAAATAAGGATATCATAAAATAATCTGCAACCCTTACTGTTATGTATAACACATTTAAGAAAGGGATTTAATGAAATGTTTTGCTTGTATAAAAATACTTCATCTCTACTGTTCCTAATATTTTCTCTCCATAAAAAAGGGATGGACTCAAGGACTTGTTGAATATCTAAAAATGTACCTCTTATCTTATATATATCTTTCAATTTTTGAATACTGTAAATATTACCGTCATTGTAGTATAAATCAATAATAGATATTATATTATGATGTATCCAATTGTTAAAATACAAATATGTGTTACGGAATCTAGTGTTGAACCATACTGGTGAATATAATATGTCTTCGATACTTTCAATGTTCACTTTTGCAAAAGTTAGTTCATGTTTTCAACACTTCTTTCCAGAAAATGTTTGAAAGTTTTTTCAGATATAATTGATGCATAAACAGGACCAAGCTTTACCATTTTGGATATATTCAAACGAGAGAGGTTAACCCTTTCGCCATTTTCGTTCAATAGACGTTTGATCCAACTTTACTTTAAATTGTTCATAAAGGCTCTAACATTTACCATTTTAATACCACCTGCCTCTATATTTTTATCTTTAACTGATCTTTTAATTTTATCTGGACCTTTTTTCCATAAAAACCGATATAATAATCTTTCTATTTGTTTAATGAAATCTTCTGAAGGATTGAGGCCTGTCATTCGTAAGATAATCAAACAAAATTTGTGAAAATTTGATCAATAATAAAATTATAGATAACGATAAGCAGCTAATATATAGATAAGCGTTAAAAATGTATTAGCCCAAACAAAACTGACATAAAAGAGAATATTTTACAATAATTATGTGTGTATTTTAGAGTTAAAGAAAGAGCGGAGATATGATCACTTTATATCTATAATGACTAATTTAATATGAACACGTAAGTTAAAAAGAGATTTCACAAACATTACTGTTCAGACAGAACAGTGTATACGGAGATGGATAAGTGTGACAGAGGAAACGACTGAGTCACCAGACAAGCCGAAGAAAGTTTCAGATAAGAAAGATAACCGTGATAAATCTGAAAAATCTACTGACAAGAAAGAAAAAAAAGTTGAAAAAATGAGAAGGCAGACAAAGCAACCAAAAACGAAGGAAAAGAATGAGAAATTAGAAAATACAGATAACGGAAGTGTAAATGGAGTTAACGGAGATGTTGGTTCGGAGGATGGGGAAGGAGTTGAGACAGAAGATGAACTTCGGGACGAAGAGAGGGAAAAATTATTAAGGGTTTTAGTTGGAGAGTTGGAGGACCTTCCACCACTGGGGTCAAAGATTGTCAGAATCTTCACAAGTTCAACCTTTACAGGTAAAACAAACATTCATACATGTGATATTCTTACTAAATTGATCTTTTTTATTGTGGATCAGCTGAGAAGCTAGCCAAATGCCACTCTTAAAGATGCCACTGATAAATGCCAATCGTCTTTACAAATTTATTCTGTTGGATTTTTTTACTCTAATATCGTTATTTACTTTATTTCATCTTAAATCTTTGGGGATGTTTTTTTTTCCGAAATGCTTAATATTTTATTCGACATGCTTAATCAGTCACTTTGTGATCAGGAATAACTGATAAATTATATATCAGAAAAAAAAATTAATATGAGTTTGCTACAGATTTCACTAGATTACATCGTTAGACACAAAAATGACCTTGTTATAGTTCATACTACATGTACCTATACAAATATTATAACAAAAATTGAAATGATGAACTTAAAGATAGAAAAATGGTATTGATGTTGTCGCGTTAAAAGATAATTATTTTTTTAAAATGTCATTCATTGATATTTTGTTATATATCGTATTATACATTGGCAATGAAATAAATATTTAAAGTTTACAGTTGAACAATTGTATTGTCATTGAAAATCACCTCGCTCCTGCAATTAAATATTGACATAAAATGAAATTGGGTAATTATTCTGTTTGTATATGGCCATGTTTATGGTTTTTACAATATGTGTACTTCAATCAATGAATTACTTTCTCCAGGCGTAATAAATATTGGACGGACACATGAACTGAACCGAAATCCTGGTTCTTTCAAGACTTGGATCAACTGTTTCTCGCTTTCAGGTGTTATTCTGGCCATCACCGCATCTGGTAGGTCTGACTGGAACCGAATGTGCTGGATTTTTCTATCAATAGAAAACGATAATATCCGTAATGACTGTCACAAACGTATTTCCTAATATGCTTCTATAAATCAATAAAATTAAATATAATTCAGTGCACATTTAGAAATATCTAAGTTAAAAGGACAGCTCTTACTGAGCATGACCGTAAACTTGGTCACGTGACTAATTTTCACAGACTATTACTTTCAGTTTGTAAAAGAATAAAAAATAAGACCACCCTAACACATAAATCTTATTTAATTATAGAAGGAATTATATAATTTATGTCATGTAAGGACCATGAATACCTTCTAATTATACAGTATTGACATTTTTCTACTTCATGATATAATAAAAATGTAAGTAAAGTAAATCAAAGCAAAATTTAAGTTACTAGTTAACGATTAATAGAAACAATACACCCTTACACTTTCATGTATAAGATATTTTCTCTTTCTATGGTATAGCAACTCCGAGTTTAAAGTTAGTGTAGACGATTTCTCTGTAACATTGGCCAGCTGTTGAAGTGTTTCTACATCATGCCTACGGAATTTAATCCTTGGATGTGCAAATCCCACATCAACTTAACACCGAGCATGTCCTAAAAAGAAAATCAAAATTATTTTGAAATATGTAAAAGCCTTATCTGCTACGATAAAAAAGAAACAACATATGTGCTTTTTAACAAAACTACAGTATTTATGATATATATTTTGTCAATGGGAAAATAAGATACGATTGTCAAAATCAGTTTAGATTGCCGAGTACCTAGAAATAAGTAAGAATATAAGTAATGAAGGTTTCTTGTACTTGCATATGATACTCAATTTTTTTCATTCTGTCCTGTCATGAAGCGCCACATTAAATAACCTATATTGTAACAGTTCTTATTTTGCCCGGAGTACAATTATTTCCATGTTAGTTATTCACTATGCTATAATTAAAGATCTATATTGAAAGTAATCTTTTAATTTTGAAGAAAAAAGTAAGAACAAGTTAAATGACTGATATTTTTAATTGTGTACAGACATGCAATACTGATACTGGTACTTCAGTACGTACTGCATATTTATTTTGCAAGTATTGTACTGGTACTGTCACTGAATTACTCGCACACAAAATTTGCTGTTTCTTGTACTGGTACTGAATTACTGTCTCAATATGTGGTACTGGTACTGTATTAATAAGGGACTACTTTGGTTTAAATAAAAGATTGAAAGAGTTAATTTTTATCACATATATTATCCTATTTATTTTTATCTTTTATATTAAGAAAACTATGTTGTGGAATTTTAAATTAGACAGTCTGTATGCAAAATTTTATTGATAATGTAAAAGTACTGCTACTTAATTACTTCCAAACTAAAATTACTGGTACAATACTGGTTTTGTACTGATACCGCATAAGTTGACAAGTACTGGTACTGGTATTAAAGTAGTATACCCTTAGTACTGATGCATTTCCGATTGTTTAACGCTTGTCCTTTATGTCATTGTAAATAGTTTCCTATTAAATAAAAAATAAAAATACCGAGTTTATTGACATAGAAGGAGTCTGATTAACGTGATTCTGCAATGTCCAGTCTACCATCGACAGCACAGTGTCAGGCCCGTGTGTCCCTTTGCCATCTGGACCTATGGTTTAATCATCGTCATTTGTATAGCTTGCCAGAACATCTGGATATTACGCAGGGTTAAAAAGCATAATGGACCCATCTGGCAAACTAACGTTCTGACTTTTCTTCAGAGTCACGTGTGGCAATACTACCCAGTATTCACTCATTATATAGATCACATTCCTATGAAATTACAAAAAAAGAGATCCATTGTAAAACATAAATTAAAGTGACATTATGCCTATCCAAGTATAAATTATGGGTGAAAAGGTCAAAGTCAAAATAAGTTTTTCCATATTATGTTTCAATTTTATAATTAAGATAATAGTCCATGTGAATAATCAATAACCCACATGAATCACAATAAATTCTATAGATATCCTACGGAATATATCATTAATGTTCCGTTGATAAAAAAATGGGACAAGCCGTTTATATTTCAGGTAATTTATTTTATTCTATCCTTGACATTTTTCATACCACTTGCGCCTCACCGCTGGCTGTTGGTTTGAATACCGACAGAGACTTTGGATTCCTTTATGTAAGGAAGCTATCCAGCTAGCTTACAGAATGTCGTTGGTTCTACTAAGGTACCCGTTCGTGCCTGAAATAATGCACGGAAGGGCACCTGAGGTTTTCATCTACCAGTAAAGCTGGAACGTGGCCATATGACCTGTGTGACGTAAAAGCCAATCAAACAAACAAACATTTTTCATAATCAATTATTGTTCAATGACCATAATAATAGTCAAACTTTTTAAATATATAGTCAATTTAACTCAAAAGCGAAATTATTGATCATAATGTAACTTTAAGATAAAGGTAAAAACAGCGTATTTGAACCTTTTAAAGTAACGATCTTTTTAACGGTAAAAACATCATAATATCACCTGAATAGGTAACATATGGTACAGTTAATTCTTATTAATTCTTTAGTGTATTGCGTATCAATTACTGTTATAAAACTATGCTTAAAAATAAGACTAATTAATAATTTGTTGCTAGTGTCACATCCTCGGTCACTGTACCTGATATCTGTCTGCGCAGCTTCTCACAATAGGCACATACATCCTTTGAGCTACAAGTACGTTGATAAAACGGTCCCAGATGTCTTTGAATTACGTGAACTCACAGGGGGATCTGAACAAGACTGTATGTTAAATTGGTGGATATATTTTTGGTTGTGTCAGACGTCAGATAGACTGGTTGGATGTTATCTAGCCAATGAGGGGCTGCAGGTTGTAATTTCAAATGAAATGAATAACTCGCATGACATCATCATACGTAATAGCGTGCTTTGGTTTTCTTCCTGCGTTGCCATGCTGCGCCAGTGACGGCATGTTGACTGATATATTTAACAATGGCCCCTAATGCATATTTTTGTAATATCATAACTCAACATGAATGTTCCTTTGTCACTCGAAATATCTTCCTTGAACGCTGCTTTTTTTGCCGCGTTTAGTTTTCTCGTCGTTTCCCTCAGCCAATAACGACATGATGCACAGTTCTTTCTCCTCCTTTGTCATTTCCCTGATAGAAGAACATGACTCAATATTTTATTAAATTTAAACTTTGTATGACAGTTAAGACGACAACCACAACCTTTTATCTAGTGATGTAATATAGTAAATCACAGCCAGAGAGACTTTAAATCCCAGATCACAATAAATTCGTTTTTTACTCGCATAAATTCTTATATAATCAACTACTTATAACTTTTATTACCTAAAACTAAACAAAAATTTAAAGCAATTCATTCGTTTCCATATTTGTTTAGTATGATCCCGGATGCCGGATGTTCCGGATTTTATTACTGAGTTTTCTCCCACCTTGTATCGATTTTCTCAGTTTATCATTATCACGGGCTTTGAAATATTCAAACTCACTATTTATAAATTTTGATCAAAATTTGCTTTTTGAATTTTTTTTAAACTTCCATTCTGTAATTTATGAACACAAATGTTAGATTTGTATGTGTGTGTTTCCCCAAGTTTGCTATGTAAAAAAAAAGAAGTTTTCATTTTGAGTTTATTAACCAATTTGATTTGTGATTCGTGTATTCGGAAAATATTATAGCATCCTTTTGATTTATTCGCAGAAAAAAAAAGTTTTGTAAAAGTTATGTACAACAAATCCTGTTACTTGCAATATGACAAATCGCCGATTCAGAGAACATTTGGGAAAAGGAGTCGGTCATTTGCGAAGAAATAACTGGTTAGTTATGCAGGGAAGCTAGTTTGGTGAATCGACAGCTGTTATATGACCAAGAAAATGACGAAATATGTTTAAATCGGCATAAAAACAGAAAAACAAACAAACATGTTAAGATTACTTGAGTCCTGTTACCTGTTCATGTTCACCAGTTGAAATGTGTTGCCATCTACACCACCGCACCTTTCATCAATGGATACTTGCTAGTTTGACAGCATTTCCACTTTATCTCCAAATATAACTGACAAGTAACCCCATTAAAAAGGTAGGACAAAAAAGTACGGCAAACGAGGAAAAGATTTTACCAAAAACAATGTAGGGCAAATGAATGAATTATACTTCAATAGTTGTCCTAGGATAACTGTTCTTAGTTACTTAAATATCATATTAAATTGATTTTTTCTGTGTACTAAATGTAATGTATCAAACCTTCGTAACGAAAAACTGTATCAAGCATTATCTTTTTGCATTACTGATTTTTTTTCAAATTATTCTCCTTCAAGTATTGATCTTCAGATCATAAGATTATAATCATTTAAGGGTCATATAAACTTTTTCTTATTATTTTTTTTTTTTAATTTTTTTTATTTTGTAAATTCTTGACAATGATGGCATTTTTCTATGTTATGTTCACAAACAGTCATCTTGCCGTTTACTTTTTCCGATATTAAGGTAGACATCCCCTCGTTCATTATGATAATCAAGTTAATTTAAAAATTACTTTCCCTTAAATGTATCATGTTATCTTTAAATTCGTTATTTGTTAGTGGACATTGGTACATTTGTTTTATTCTAGATGTTAAATGGTCAAATTAGCCTAAATTAATTCGGTCCTGTTCTAGTTATCAAAAATGAAAAAGTGTGGGTGTAAGAGAGGTACCATGCGCCATAGATCAGTATGGCTCTGAAATATTCTTGTTTCAAAATCGTAACCTTAAATACAAGCTAGAAGACAGTTTTTCACTAACTGCAATGTGATAATAATATTTCTTGAATCATGTTCAAACGATTAGTAGAAATCATAATATTCTTGTCATAGGATGCATTTACCTGTTATCTTTCATTATGTACATACATTTACCTTTTATTATTCAAGGGAAATGTCCAAAATGAATACTCACAGAACACGAACGTGTCGGTTGATTTCCATCTGCACTGGTCGCATTTAGGACACATTCAGTTGCCATCATCAAACTTAGGGATAAACAAACGCAAACAAGAATTTAAGAACCCCAATTGGTTAAGTCACGTTAGTATCACATAATCAGCCATTAAACAACTAATAATTGTACATCTATATACATGTCCTTCGAACACGATCTGATCATCTTTATTTCAGACACAACAATGGAAAGAAATGCGTTGATGGAAAATGTTTATCCGAAGTTGAAGAGCAGTCTGCGAGAGAAATATGGTCTCGAGTTTCAGGTAAGCTGTTTACATATTTGGCTATAAATAGTACAATCGAATTGTGATTTGTTTTAAACGACCAAGTGAAATAAGTACTACGTTATGATAAACATAACACCTGTTTTTATACTAAATTTATTTCCTCAAACATTTATTGCTTTCAGATCTTGGCGTAAGTACTAATTTAACACATCGCTTAACCCCCGCCCCAACCCTCTTTCGAGAAATAGGGATTTATTGCTTTGCATAGCGATCGTTTAAAGTCTGCAGACGACAGCTTGTCCTACCAATAACTATAGAGAATGCGAAGGGGCTGAGTGGTTAAGATTGCCAACTTCAAATCACTTGCTTCACACCGCTGTTGATTCTAGCCCTGTTAGGGATGGATTGTTTTATGTGAGAAAGCTATCCAGTAAGTTTACGGATGGTTGGTGGTTCTACTCAGGTGCCCGATCGTGCCTGAAATAATGCATGAAAGGGCACCTAAGGTCTTTCCAGGCAAGTCATCGTATGACCATTACAGTGTTGCTGTGACTTGAAATGCAAAGAAACAAGAGAACACTTAGGTCCTTATTTCTGAGGGAACTTTATTGGACAAATTATTTTTCATTTGCATATACTTTATTTATGCAGGAACAATTTTATTTATGCAGGAAGAACTTTATTTTAATATGCAGGAAAAACTTAATAAATACAGGAACAATTAAATGTATGAGTTTTCTTTATACAGGAACATTTTCTTTTTCTGCGCGAACTTAATTTTAATTGAAGAACGATTCGAAAGTGTGCATATGAGCTTATACTTCATTCACAACCGCAACCGAAATAAAATATACTCTGTATACCATAAACTAATATGATCAATTGAAATTTCAATGCAGCTATGAAAGCAAACAAAATGAGGATTATTTATCCTAATTGACAACAAAGGACATGGTTTTTGAACAATTTGAGAACAATTTAAAACATTGTAAATATTTATCAATTACATAACCATTACAATATTTTAATCCTTTTGTAAGTTTGTGTTTATAAAACATAATATATGCAACATTTTAACAATCAAGGCTCAACAGCTTGTTTAACATTGCTGAGTCAAAGCCGTTTCACATACTCGCCCTGTAACATTTTCTTTTGCCTTGGTTAACGCTTAAATAATCAGTTTGTAAAAAGGAAATGAAATATGAAATTACTAGGTTAATTACTAGCTATTAATGACGGAACGGTATTGATTAGATATTAAATTACTTATGTTTATTATAGAAATAAATCGTGCAAATGAGTATTGAGATAACAGGTAAGATAGAGAATATTTGTTTAGTTCAGTGAAAGATCGGAATATATTTCACCGAGTGAGCACCAAAAGGTATATTTCACGAGTGGCGCAGCCACGAGTGAAATATCAACTTTTGGTGTTCACGAGGTAAAATATATTCCGATCTTACACTAAACTGAACAAAATTTCTTTGTATTATATGCAGGGAAACGTTTAAAAAGACATTTTAACCTAATACTAAATAAAAAGCGCGCCAAATGATAATAAAACGTGACGTCATTTGGTAATTTTCGTTGATTGTAAGTGCCATTTGTAAAGTGTTAATTGTTTTCTGTGTTCACTTCACATATTTTATATTTAAATACATGAAAATTTGCATGGGCCTGGAGGCATGCTGCTTTATTATTTATCTGCCAGACGAGGTCCAAAAGAGAGTATACATATGTAAGTTTGTTTTAGGTTGTTGATATGAGATGGGGTGTTCGAGACGAGGCTACTGATGATCACATGACCACTTCATTATGTATGCAGGAAATTGATAATTGTCAGCGACTGTCTATTGGTCCAAATTTTATTGTAAGTATTGATACATATTATAATTTATTCTAAATCAAATCCCATGTACATGAAGGTCCCGCGTGTTATTCTGAAAAGAACTCAGAAACGGTAATCTTCTGAGATTTTTTGGTATGTGAGAAAAATCTTTAAAAAAACTTCTGACATGACTTCCAATTTCAAACTAGCTTAAAAAAGATAAAAAGACTATTTGTTTAAGCTATTGTTTTCAAGATACACAAAACGTTTACGAGGATTAATAAAAAAAGTTCTCGGCCCGATGTACTTCCGGAAGCCAACTTATGGTTTTACTTTTCAATATAATCGCCCTCTACATCAATGCACTTTGCCCGCCTGTGCACTTGTTTCACCCTTCAAAATATAACACTCTACTTTGACCTCAAAGAACTCATTAACCGCATCCATGAAACCTTCATTGTTTCCAAAACGTCTACCACGAGGCTCGGTTTTCAGTTTCGAAAACAGGTAGAAGTCAGAGGGGGCCAAGTCCGGAGAATATGGGGGATGGGGGAGAATTTCGAAGTCGCAGTCAGTTGCAACTTGGGATGTGTGTGCTTGCGAATTGTCGTGCAGGAGTAGAACGCATTGAATCAGTTTGCCTCTCCTTTAACGCGCGATTTCTTGACGCAGACTTCTCAATTCATCTGCAAAGTACGTACCGTTTATGGTACGACCTTATTATACCCTGACTATCCCAAACAATTGAAGCAATCATCTTCCCTGCTGATGGCACCCTCTTGAATTTCTTCGGAGGGTGTTAGCCAGGGTGCTTCCACTGCATGCTCTGTTTTTTGGATTCTGGATCGAAGTGATGGACCCGTGTTTCATCCTGAGTTACGATCTGGTAGATAAAATCAGTAGATAGACAAAAGATATCTTGAAATGTCAAGCCTGATCCGTTTCTGGTCGTCAGTCAACTGTCTGGGGACCAATGTAGCGGAAACGTTTGACATGCCATAGACATCAGTCAGAATTGCCTGAACTGAACCAAAGCTTATAACCACTTCCCTAGCAAGGCTTCGCAGGTCTCGCCTTCTGTTGCACATGACCAGATCGTGCACAGCTTCGGCAGTTTCATCGTTTGTAGCCTCTTTTGGGCGCCTAGACCGCTTATCATCTCCAATGCTCTCCCTGCCCCTCTTAAATTCAGCAGCCCATCTTTTCACAGTGCTTTAGGAAGGGGACTCTATCCCAAGTAAATGTATATCCATGAAGTATTCATGGATTTCCTTGGGGGACACCCCTTTCATACAAGGTACTTAATAACACCCCTCTACTGATCAAAGTGTGTTTTATGTTACTTAATCTGTGTAAAACCGCAATATAATGCGAATATCCAGTGTTTTTCTCCATTTGATGTATTTTTTACATTGAATTTCATCATTTAATTCATTCAATTATTTATTGGCATCACAGCGATATATATCGCTGTTGGTTACATGTATGCATGGAACTTGTCTTTGTATTGTACGTCAAAATTGTTAATGTAATATACCCAATTCTGATAAAAGAGTGCAAAAATTCGAAATATTTCCTCAGGTTAAGGAATACATTTCATGTTTTCATGCAGTCCATTTTCCATTTGCATAGAATATCAATGTATTTTTGATTGTGTATTTTATGAATATAGGTGTTCCTTGGTCAGAAATACGGCTATCGACCTATTCCTACCCACATAGATGCTGACGAATTTAACATGCTGCGGGACTGTATCCAGAATGAAGCCGATGAGCTTGAGTTAATAGACGTATGGTACCGACGCGACTATAACACAATACCAGCGGTGTACATTCTGCAACCAATCAGCTCTATTCTTACCAACTTTAACAATAAGGTACTCTCTAATTCCACCAAATATAACATTCTATTTTTAGCTTGTCTGTTTCGAAGAAAATGTCGAGCTATTATATTTGATTGCTGAGGCGTCGTCGTCGTCGTCGTACAAACACTTTTATGTAGCCCATTATTCAAGCATTTTAAAAGTTGTCAATACTTTCTTATCATGTCAAGTGCAGTTGTTAGACAAGGGGTATAATTCTGAATGCAACATTTTGGAGTGATGCCCTTTTTTAACTGCGGTGCTTTTGTTTTCTAGATATCAATGTGACGTATCAATGTATGCATGCAAAATAGATGCAATATAAAACTTTGTACACTAGTTTAACTAAGACATGGATTTTGTCTAAATTATTACCCCTTGTGAATTTAGAATTTTTTTGGTTTAAATGTTGCATGCAACATCTATGTCAAAACTACCGAAGGTATTCACTTGAATCTTAATGCTTATCTTTCTGAACATAACTGGAGGTCACCTTCATACGCCCAAAGCTCTGACATATATTCTGGCAGCATTATGTCCAATTATTAACTTGGTGAACATTCTAGGATAGATAAGGTTTACATGCAAAAGGTATTCACTTGAAATGTAAAATACGTCTCCGAAATCATTATCACTTTCAAAGCCCATAACTATTGGCTTTATTTATAGTGAAATATTTCCCTTTGTGAACTAAGACAAATTCTTTGGTCAATATAGAAGACTCATAACTTTTTTGTATATTTTTTAATACATTTTTAATAAAATCATCTTTTTTATTAATTCTTTTATTGTCCAGGATCTCGTTTTCCTATAAAGTGATGAGAATACTCCATCGCGCTGTCCTACTGACAGCTCTTGTCCGTCTGACTACAAAAGTATTACCGCTAGAGAAATGAAACAAAATATTTAAAAATACTAGTCAGCATGTGAACTTATAGATGTGCCTTGGTATTTAAAACTTTTCAGGGATCTGCATCGTTATGTCCCCTGATAAGAACGACATAACAGTGTAATAGTAGTATTGCATGTAACTCCTGAAGTATAAATGCTCTGTCATCTATAATCGTGTAAGCTTATGCGCATTGTAATTTTTCACAATGCCTTTGGAGTTTAGCAGAGTTATGCCCCTGCTTGAGCAAATATCAATTGTCAAATACCTACATGCAAATCAAATGGAATGCTTACTTTAACATTGATGATACTGAGTGGAAATGTCTATGTAAATAGGTTCACACTGAAACTAATGATAGTAACCTCCAATGGCTTCAAACTAAAATTACCCGTAGAATTCTAGAAACTAACTATTTAATGTTAAAATGAAATTGACACCATCTGACAAATGCACGTTTTTCAAAGAAAAAATAGACATTGCTTCATTTAGTATGGAATTGTTTTGTTATAAAACTTTTATTTCAGATGTGCAACAACTTTTAAAAAGTCATAATGTTGATTGGAGTGTTAATTGTAAGACATTTATTTTAGGTAATCAAAAAGGTGACCAATGTCAATTTTTGTCTAGAATTAAAAAGATATATTTTCTTGTGCAAGAGGAGGGAGATATTACCATCAATACAAGGCCTCGTCTGCAGTTTAAAGCTAGCATCTACAATAGTTAGATATACTAAAATTAAAAAATGTATGTACTCATTAGTTTGAATGATAGCAAATAGATAGTATATTTTTAAGGTAAGTACTTATATATGACAGTCTGATTATATTATATCCAGTTTTTGTGGAAATGAAATACTCTGAAACCCAAGACAACGTAAACGTATATTGTATATATATTATAAAATTATGTATGATATAAATGTATTATGCCCTTATGTTTTTCATAATAGTACAATAAATTGTAAGGTGAAATAGTACCTATGACGGGGACAATAAACGAAGTACCTCTTCGGCTTCAAAACAAATCATGTTTGGTCTATCGTTATGTTAAACTGCCAATATAATCGAATGCCATGTTTACATGCTCAAGTTATTGACAAAACTAGAATGTTAGGGCATCCGTCTCCTATAGACATATTTCTAGTTTGTCGAGAGCGAATCATATTGATTATTTATGATCAAGTCAAAGCCATTGTTAACTTTTTCCTATAAACGACTGTTCTCTTTTCTCTTTATTGTAATTTAAAAAAAAATCATGTACATTTTGCTACATCAAAGAGATATGTTTTTAACAGTGACATGAAAAAGAAGGCTAAAACATAATAAGAACAACATTCGATCTACCAACAATCAAACCGAGTGCCAATATCAATATATTCAACCGTTACAGAATACAACATCTTTGTTTTTGTACTATTTCACAACGACTTTGCTGAGAACTTTCTTCCTACTACTGTAAAACAAAAACAAAACAAAAACATGTCTTCCTACTACAGAACGAGTTTAGCATTAAACAAAAGTAGTTAATGTATTTTTAGGCAATCAGTGGAGAATGTAAAATTTCTGAATCAAATCAGTGTACCATTAATAGGGCTGCGTTTTATTAGAAGTCCTACGTATATCCTTAGACCAATTTTATAGCTATTTAAGACCGTTTCAAAGAAACATTTTTATCCGTAGTCAAAGAATTTTTTTCGCCTGAGAACATTTACGAAATACAATAACATGCATTTTATTCACAGCGTAAATGTTCATCTTCAGAAATTGAAAACATTTATAAATTGAATGAGTCATCATATAGGAGTCATAAGTTATGAGATTTTCTTGAAAAGAAAAATTGTCTTTGTTTCAGACTTAGTACTTTCTATGAAACACAACCCTTGTGCTTTCTTGTTTGATGATTACAGATACTGCTAACACTCTGTCATCTCAATGTAGCTGTATCCTTGGCAAAAAATCCACTCTATTTCATTTTTGCGACATCTTATGATGCGACCTAAAAAAACTATTGTTATAAATAAACGTTCTTTTATATTTTTACAGCGAAAGAAGCGCCTAATGGAAACGGATCGGAAGACATGGTGGGACATACTGGGTAGATTACAGAGAATTTTGAGAAAGGCTGCACAAGTACTGTTTATTGCGAAGAAATTTGACCGGGAACAAATGCATAACTATTTTATGTCTGGTAAAGTAAAACTTCATTCAAATATTTTCAGCATAAGTTACCTGCAATTTTATAGTAAGTTAATTGCAATAGCTAAGAATTAATGACGATTTCACCAGAGTAACAAGAACTCGTCACAACCACTGGTTTGATTTTAAATTAGTGAGCAGGCTCTTTGATTTAGTTGGGTTGTGTTTATACCCTTGTAGGTTGGCGAGATGACCTTACCACCCTTTGTTTGTTTACCGTTACCAAAATACCCTTTTCAGCAATTTATAATTGCATGAAGTTGCGATTCCTTTACAGAACTCCTGCGCATATAACAGTCATCTAAATCAAAATAAGAACTAAATGAATAGCGAACATTGCAGACCATGATCAGACGGCACGGATGTGCAGGCCTATCTTGATCTGCCCTTGTAGCATGAGTAGATACAGTTGCCGGCATGATCTTTATATGGATATATCAAACCATAAATAATCTTTACATCTAAAACTACAATGGCAAGATCTTACATACCTTACATGAAATATGTGTTAATGTAACGCTACCAAGTTTGTTCAAGTTACAGCCATTCATATCCCAAATCAAGGAGCCATACGTTTTCGTTATATGTATACAGTATATAAGATTGGGTTTTTTATTTTTCTAACAATGCTAGATCTTAGATATTTTTCAATAAACATTTGTAATAGACCCATATCAAGTTTGACCAAATTATGATCTGGGGACAGGAGCTTAAATATTTGGCGAGAGACAGTGTCTATATGGTCGCTATTAATATTTTCAAATTAAAGCCCTGGCGTCACAATTGGCCCCGCCTGGGGGGTCATGGTTTTTTGAATGTATATTGTAAAATTGCTAAAAAAAAAAACCTGCTCCTCTGAACCCACAAATACTCGAGCTTAGATATTTGACACGAAAATATTGTCTACTTTATCGTTACCAAGTTTGTTCAAAGTTTTTAGGTCAAAATTGGTTCCGCGGCTTCATGGGTTTTCCTAGTATGTAATATAATAAAATTTGCCCTGCTCCAGGGTCAGAGTTTTCTTTTTACATGTTTGTATAAAGTAATAACTTTTTCAATCCTCTTCTATGAGCGCTTAGATAGTTTCAAGCATTATCTGGTGGACTTTACCCGAGGTTTGACTTTCTTAAACTACAAGTGATCATAGGTGACCGTAAAAGCAAAATTTAAAAGGCAGCCAGTTTATCAACATACAATGTATATTATTGTAATATCATGATAACAAGACTGAAACAAAAATTTATATTTTCACAGTTACGGAAAGAGAAATTACGCGAGGAATTCTTAAAGCAAAAAATGTGAAGGACCATTGTTTGGCATATGTGAGGGAAATAGAAAACATCAATATCACCTTGCTGCGATTTGCTGAGAAATTTATCAAGTTTGTCGACATTTCTGACAGGAATGTCGATGGTGACGCACAGAAAATGTTAAAAACATTACGTGATGATAAACTTCCTGCCAAAATGCCAGATTCAAATATTGTCAGATTCAAGGTGGAATGGGGAGGAAAAGAAGGCATAGATATAAAAATACACAAGGTAATATATTTTAAAAATTAAATTAAAAATCTGAAATGTGTGCTTCTTCCTAGAAATGTATACTGACGTTACAATATTGAAGTTTTTTGTTAAAATTTAATTGTACCGTGTTAAAAAAAACTCAATTATGTTCTGCACTGCACTTCCTATCAACGCTTATTAACTATACTAAACGTAGAATGTACACACTTCGGTTTTAAATTAAAGTTTTGTACAGTAAAAAACATTTCGGCTAGAGATGTCTGCAAACTACTTTATTTTCTGTAAAAATTTACTGGGGAGAACTGAATTTAAGTAGAATTTTCATCGGTCACTTCAATTCTTTCTCCTCACAAGCGTCCAAATGTTGTCCACTATATACAAATCATACTTTTGATCCGATTGTTATTTTTGCTAAACAAAGTGATGTGATTGAATTTCACAAATGAAGTACTTTGATATTGATTAGCAATATACATGCACTTATATCAGTTTCGTTATTAAATTAATGGAGCTCACAGATGTGTTAGTAATTTGAACGTTTGTTGCAATAAATAAAGGCATATACATGTATCATCTGTAAAGATCATGTCACCCTATAAATTAGTGCAGTCTGACCACACTCTCAACTGTTTGTTGCTTCACCTTAACCCTTCGAATTTCCTGATACCAATAATGAGAACATGAAAGCACATTCATTATACCGAAAGAAAGGCGGCAGGGAGAAGGTTTGAACAAAATATTTCAAAAATGGTACTGTGTTAATGACCCCCACTTAAAAATTGTATTGTGTTTATGGCCCCTACTTAAAAATTAGGAGTATACATTGTTTGGAATGACCCAACAATTTAAGAAGAAATAAGCCGTGGTGGCTTATAACCGGTCATCATTGACTCTGGGTTAAAAGGTCAAAGCTATTCAGTCATAAGTTAAAATACTATTATATTATGTATAACATATCAATATATCATTAGACCTTGATGAAAATTGCGTAGGTATGTAAATATGCAACTGTCACAGCAAATTTTAAAGGGGCATAAGACGAAGTGTCCTATGGGCATATTTACTAGTGACAGAGACTTGATAATATCTCAATGTGGATATATTCAATAATATTCTAGTCTGTTACAGGAGTATATAGAGACATTCTGCCAACATTTCTATTCTAACGTGCTCCGGCTTGTTGATGATGCTATGACAAAGAACGAAAAATTGTCGACGAATTCGGTGTATGTAGAGGTACTACAGCATCTGAAGGCTTGCTACAACTCTTGCAAAGTTTTTCAGGGAAGAGAAGACATGGGTAAATGTTAAATATGAAATCAGCAAATAGTTTCTCAAACAGTTCTTCACTTTATCATAAGTGATAGAGAATATGTTTAAATTAAGGTAGTAAGAGATTGGCAATGAGTAACAGAACTTACTGAAAACGTTTTTATATGAATCTAACGAAGAAAATGGGGTATATTGTTTGAAATTTTTGGTCGGTCTTTTTTGTCAGAATCCTTGAATGTAAAAACCGTTCCCGTTTAATATCTAAAAAACCATTCTTTCTAATTTTAAACTTTCATGGGAGGATTATCATTATCAAATAGAAAGGTCACAATGACATCAATTTCCGCTGAGCCAGAATGATGGCCCTATTGTTTTTGGGTCCCGATACGTGAAGGTAAGGTCACGGTGACATTGAATTTGTAAACCACGTGGACTTATTAACTAGAGAAAAATTTAAGTAATAGGATGTCACCCTCACTTAGTAAAATACGCCTTTTTTATGCCAGTCAATAAAGGTCACAGTGATCTTGACTTGAGAACCATTCAAACCATATCCATCAAATTCAATGAATGATCACTGTCACTGAGTAGAAGAGCTTTATTGCTTTGGCACTTATGGGTAAAACGTTAACGTCACAGTGACCTTGAATAAGAAATTTGTTTCAGTTTAATAACAAGAAAAATACTAGACCCCATACATGACATGATTTTTTTGTATGTGTATCAGAGGCAGCATATAAATTTATGTTTGTTAATTAATAAATAGTTAATAAGATATACTGAGATTGAATGGATTTAAAATCGAATAGATAAAATGTTTATTGACATTTAACTCATAGGTTAAATTTCCAAATATCTGCATCAATTTAGAGAATTTTCCTTGATCCCATTACTTATTCATTGAAAACGATTTTGTGATGTTTTTTCAATTAATTTCAATACTGTCAAAGATTATTTAAAGATTTGTACTTATGTGCACATAAGTAAATAAGCCAAACCAAGAACTATGCCCATTAAACATGTAATTTTAATTATACAACCCAGTTTTGACGAAACATTAATTGTGCTGTGTAGAGTAGACAGGTGTGTTAAACGTATGTTCTAACCATCTTCTTTAACTGTTTTTTCACACTTTTTTTTAAATAAAAGGCGGAGTTGTTCTGATGACCCTCTAGGCGGCGATATCGTCGGTGGGTTTCCTTTTCTGTTTATATTGTTTCTTTTATGGACATTCACTACAATACTTACAACCCTGTTACATTTAAACTGTATTTGCGAATGCACCTTGATGACTGCTACTTGTCACAATAATATTCTTCTTTGCTTTTATCCTTCTATCCAGCAATGAGAAAAGAAGAGCGCGCTGCTCCTCGAACAGCTTATGTTATTTATTAATGTGTCCAAAATAAAAAATGTAACAATTGGGGTAAAATCAAATGGTGGTTTCAATTAACTTTTATTTATTATTATTTTCCAGTTACGATGATACAACAATATGTGTTAGGGAAATTAGGGAAATCTGACAAGCCCCTTATTTTGTTTGGCGACAGCGGCTGTGGTAAAACCTCACTTATGGCAAAAGGTTCAAGCCAGGTAGCTCTTATGTTTTGTTTTTCATCAATATTTCCACAATTGCTTGAATCTATCTAACCATGGTTAAATTAGTATAATTATTACTGAAAAACGGCAAAGTAATTTTTACTCTTCAAAACATTTATGCCAGTAACAATCATTTTTAGAAATAATTTCGAATACAAGTAAATGCCCGTTTACTTTTAGGTATTGACTGTTGACCATTTTCATAGTGATATATGTGTTATATGAACCTCTTTTTGGAAATAATTAACATAACTACTTTTATTTCAGGCCCGGTCATGGTTTAGCAAGAATTCATCACCGTTTCTTGTTCTTCGGTTTCTCGGTACAACACCGAACAGTTCAAGCATCATCCCATTGCTAAAAAGTCTGTGTCAGCAACTTACATGGTTGTATGAAATACCTGACGAATACATACCGGATGAACTATCGCCACTAGTCCAACACTTTAAGAAACTGTTGACATATGCGTCTAAAGAGAAACCACTTGTTTTAATTTTGGATTCTCTTGATCAGTTATCTGGGGCTCACGGGGCTCATCAATTGGCATGGTTACCTACAACTTTACCGCCTAACGTTCGCCTAATTGTTTCAACATTACCGAACTATTATGGAATTCTGGATACACTGCGCAATATGACTGAGATACCTGAAAATTATATAGAAGTACTTCCCCTTGGAGAGAATCTCAGCGCTACGATATTAAAATTTTGGCTGAAGAACGCTAACCGTACTCTTACGGAGGAACAGAGGGGACTTGTGAACGAGGCATTCACAAAGTGCAACTTACCTCTCTATGTTAAACTCGTGTTTGATGAAGTGTGTCGCTGGAAATCTTACACCGCGCTTCAAAATATTTCACTTGCATTAAATATCCATGACAGTATTTACAAACTGTTTGAACGCATTGAGATTCAGCACGGGAAAACACTTGTGTCACACGCACTTGGATACATAACTGCGGCAAAGAGCGGACTGTCTGAGGCAGAGCTTGAAGATCTTCTATCATTGGATGAGAAGGTTCTTAATGACGTCTACCAATATCATCTTCCACCTGTGAGAAGAATACCTCCCCTTCTTTGGACCAGAATTCGTAGTGATCTACCTTCATACTTAAGCGAGCGTGAAGCTGATGGGGCGAATGTCGTAAATTGGTACCATCGCCAGTTTATTGAGGCTGCAAAACAGAGATACTTCAAAAATTTGAATTATGCCAGTGAAATTCACTCTAACATTGCAGAATATTTCCTTGGAATGTGGGGAGGAGGAAAACCAAAGCCGTTTGAATACACAGAAAGTCAAAGAAAGATGTTCCACCTAGAACAGAAAGGTTGTAAGAAGGATCGAAAGGTACCAAGTCAGCCCCTCCTTTTCGCTGACGAAAGCGGCAACCAGCTGAGACATAATCTTCGCAAACTGAATGAACTTCCATATCATTTAGTACGATCACATAGATATGAAGAATTGTACTGCCAAGTCATTTTCAACTACAACTGGTTGCATGCAAAACTGAATTCTATGCCTCTTCAGTCTGTTTTATCTGATTTCGAAGATCTTCTTGACCATGTTTATCAGAAAGATGTTAAACTTATTGCCGACGTTATTAGGCTGTCTAGCTCCATACTCGGTCATTGTCCTGATAATCTCGGTCCACAGATAATCGGTAGACTTCTGCCTTACTTCACGATCAATGAAAACATCCGAAGTCTGATCCAACAGTGTGATACAGACGGATTGACCCGTTGTGCGTTAGTACCAGTTCACCATTGCCTGCACACCCCTGGTGGGCCGTTGCAGTTCTCTCTTGAAGGACATTTATCAGCTCCGTTTGGAATCGTTGTCACTTCAAACGCAAAATATCTTATCTCCGTTTCAAACACATTCATAATATTTGATCTCTCAACTGGAGAGGTTTTCCGAACAATAGCACCGGGAATTGAAGGGATTATGCAAAGTCTTGTCGTGTCAGAAAATGATAAGTTTGCTGCAGGGTTTACAAACAATAATCAAGTGATAGTGTGCAATATTCTGACTGGTGAGCATGTCAAGATAATGCCCCCATTGAAAGTGCAAAAGGAGTCTACAGTGTTGGGTACCACAATGAATAATACTCATTTAGTGATATGGACTGAACATGAGTGGTTTTTGTATACTATAAGCGGTAGGTTCCTTTCAAGGCATACCATAGAAATGAGCATGCCAATTATATCGTCAGACTTTGGTCCCGATGGAAGGCTTTACATTGTGGTAAAAAGTGGTGGACCAAATGACAATGACATGACATTGGAAATGAGTGATAATTCTATCGAACCATTTGAGTTCCACAGTGCCATATCTATATCAAAAGACAAACAAATAATGTACACGTGTACAGAGAAAAGTGACAATTTTGTGGCAGTTTATAAACGAGATGGTGCTGTTTGGAGGTACGACAAAACTTTAGGGGATAATTTTGACATGGTGCTTGCCTTAAATTTGTCGGAAGATGAAAAGTTCCTTGTTGCAACTATAGCTCTTGGGTACAAACTCTGGAATTTGAAAACAGACGTAATGGTTCCTTTGAAATTACCGCACGGAACACGAAATAATCTTACAAAGAACACTCTAAATGGATTAGTGACTCTAACAAGAAATAACCATTTTGTTGTAGCTGCTGTCAGGAAAAATCTTTATGTCTGGGATGTGAAACAAGGCAATATGGTGAAAGTACTAGATGCTCATTTTGGCAGGATAATCGCTCTCACAGCGGTAACCCATGGTTGCAATAAAATAATATCCTCATCCATTGACAAAACTATTAAAGTCTGGAACTTTGATAACATTTTAGAGGATGTTCATTCAATTGACAGACTCGAAAAGCCGATAGAGACAATAGATATAGCATCGGAGGTTCCAATATGTGTAACTACCAGTAGAAACTGTGTTGGTGTATGGAACCTAGAAAATGGAAAATTATTAAAGACATTTGGAACTACTGCGTCAACCTCAGTTATAACTGAGGCTGTTATCACTGGCGATGGAAATTATGTGTGTGCATCAGAAACAGCAAATATTGTCATGTGGGACGTGTCAAAAGATGCTGCAGTAAAAGTAAAAACTCTTCCTCAAATAGATACACAAAAACTTATAAGAAACGAATTTGATACGCGTATCATTGCAATTGGAAAACTTGGAGATACTAAAGGATCTGTTGTATGCTATTCTTTGCCAGAGGGGGATCAAATATACAAGTTCGAGTATGGTCTTAGGGTGTTCAAAAACGGAATAATCACATGCGACGGGTCATTTCTTGCTCTTCCAGCAGTTGATAAAAGTGGAGACGTTATTGGAGTTTACCACGCAAAAACGGGAACTCATTTCTACAACTTTCAGTTGAAATACGCTACCTATAAGCCATTGATAAAACTTATCCCGATGCCACATGACCCAAATCAGGTTGCATTAATTGATGAAGACAAGGGCAATATTTTAGATTTGAAAAAGAAAACATTAGTTCGGTCAGTTACGCGATGGAACGGTCAAGTCACAAAAACTGGAAAAAACGGACTTTATGCACCTAGCAGAGGGGGTTTAGAATACCTCGAGTTAAAGCATGGCAAAACTGTGAAAACTTTGATTAAAAAAGTTGCGGAGGGTGTGTTTAGCGTTGATGTTATGTTCAGTAAAAATGACCGTCATGTAGTTTACTATCATTCCGGTCATAGGACACTACGTGTGTTCAGACTAAGTGATGGAAAAATGGTTGCAAAATACAAGGCGCAAGCAGAAGTGAAAGTTTTAACTTGTAGTCCAGGTGGAATGTCCGTAATTATCGGATGTGTAGACGGAAGTATGACAGTGCTTGCGCTTGCAGATCCGTTTTATGAAGAGAATATATCGTTTCTAAAGGCTATACCAAGTAGACAAAGGCATCAGATAGGTATTGGTCAAGTGAGTGGTGACAAAAAATGTGATTCAACGACACCGAAAAATAGTATTGGTACAGCTTTTCAGGTGGCGCGATTTGTAGCAAAGGCACGAGGTGCACAGGGGTCGGGTGCATGCATTCAATCTTGAAAGTTACATACATACAATGGACGGTTATGTAGCTTTTCAGATATGTTTGAAATTTAGACTCCGATAGTGACAATATGCTGAGAATATTATACAATTAAGTATGAAGTAATTTTTCCCAAAGTAAATCTTCTTAGATGATTCGTGATTCTTGACAACAAAAACTACAGTAGATATAATTGTCAGATTTGCTATCTTTATAAAAATTAATGAAAAGTGAACAAAATTATGAAATAATAGAAACGGCATGCAGGAAATCTGAACGTAATATTGTTCGATTTATGTTTGTGATGATAAGATATACTTTAAGCTGGTATGTATATTTCTATATCATATTTAACGTTTTTGATATATTTGTGATTGTCATCTTTTGTTAGCTTTAAGGTTCGGATAGAATTTCAGTATCGCAAAACAAAGTACAGGTATTCCTTAAAATGAATGGTTAATTTCATTTGTTAATTATCATGTACTTTCTAGTATAAGTTGTAAAATATTTACATAACAATGTCGTTCAGCTTAAAAATAACGGTAATCTAACTCACTACAATTCCTGTCAACGGGCTCTACGTACGTGAAGGTAATGGCGTATAATTATAGTCTTGATAAAATGTTAAAATGTAGATTCTATGTGAACTGTGCTTGTGCTTGAAAAAAAATGTGTTGTAGAGTAAATATGTTTTTACAAAGGTTAAGTGATTAAAGGCAGGTGGAGCGTTTTCTTGGTAGAGGCAAGAGGTACACAGGATTGCTTTTTATTACATTACGTTCATTGTATAATGTTTTACGTTTTAATATTTATTGCTTCTGAGACACATCAGACGGACGTTTTGAAGTATTGTTGCGTTGAATTTCAAACTCTTTATTGATGCATAATAATAAAACATCTCTAAAAAGGGCTATAGCATTATCTTAAATTTCTTTTATTCACATAGAATGTTGCGTTGAATTTCAAACTCTTTATTGATGCATAATAATAAAACATCTCTAAAAAGGGCTATAGCATTATCTTAAATTTCTTTTATTCACATAGAATGTTTACCCAGATATAGACTCTGGTTATAGGTGAATACAGGCTAATTTATGGAAGATACTGCCTTTCGTAGTTATAAAATGTGTAAGATGTACCGACATAAATAAAAGAAAGCGAACGTCTAGTGATTTACCTGTGTAAGCTTTTTACCCAAGCCAATGGCTTCAATCTCACTTTTGTTTGTTCGATTATTTCTATTTGTTTGTTTTGTTGAGTTTGACACGGCCACTATAAAGGTCAAACATATGATGAATTCCCAGCTTTACTTGTGGAGGAAGACCGCATGAGCCCCTTTGTGCATTACTTAAAGCACGAGTGAGCATTTGAGTAGAATTATCGACATTTCCTAAGCTGAATTGCTTCCTCACATTTAATAATCCAAATGGGTGACTAACGGGATTCGAACTCACTGCGGAGAGGGGCAATTGAATTTAAGTCGGCGACTTACCTCACCTTTGTGCTGGTACGAAAATTGATATGGTCTAGCTGTTTCGAAAAGCTGAATATATGTAAAAAGGATATACCATTAAAATTTTCATTATTAACACACATTAAAGATACATGTACACAATTATTACATACAACTGTACAGGACAAGAAAGAAAGAGAATTTACATGGTTCCTTTCTCTCTGAAAAGCATGTACTATTTACACATACATATGTGACAGAATACTTTTTAATGTAAATTATAAAAAAAAGCAAATATGTAAGATTACGTTTAAACATGCAGAAGCCATTTAGAAGTTAATTAGTATTACAATGAAAAAATGACTGTCAGTTAAAGAAAAAGAAAACGCTAAATTAGTTTGAATACGTGTATTACCACAGACACAAGTGGGCGTGGACCTTAAAACACCTTTAAAATCCAAATACAATGTATATTTGTCAATCCCAGCACATGTACTGATCATATATAGCAGAAAAAACTTAATATACAATGTACTATAATACTATAGACGTTGAAATATGATTTTTTTCAAAACGGCTTACATTAAGTTTTTTATATATTTCATCAGTGCATGTGCTGGGATTGACAAATATACATTTTATTTAGATTTTAAAGGCGTTTTAAGCTCCACACCCCAAGTGTCTGTGTGTATTACTGGCATTTAAAAGCAAATTAAAACAAATACAGAAGTTATCTATAGCGAGCAGCCAAGAAATAATTGTATCATAGTTTGGGGACCTTTCTGTTGAAAATGTGTCAGAGTTAAATCGCATACATATATATGCACATGTGCAGTGCGTTAACTGGAGTGCAGGTATTAGTTACCCGCACTCCAGAGCATGCCCATTGATTGGCTCATTTTTGCTGGGGTTTACTTATTGTGACGGAAGACAAAGGGCAATTGACAGAAATATCATATTCAGATGCTCGTTCATTGGTTACTTTTCCCCGGAGTTTCATATTGTGACAATATAGGGACGAGTTTTTATGTTTGACTATGATACAAAATAGAAAGAACATCAAAACGCTCGGCAATCTGATTAATACGCCCCCTCGTACAAATCAGATAGCCTCGTGTTTCGATGCTCTTTCTATTATATAAACACGTATAAAAAGATATACCAGACTATCTAAGGGGGGTGGGGCATAGCTTTGATAATTCAGAAGCAGAATATATTGATAATGCTTGGGAGACTGTTGAATAATATTTCACCAGTAATTAGCTCAAAAACAAATTCAATTTACTTAGAAATATTTAAAGTGAAACAATGCACCAGCTACATGTAGGATGGCTAACAGACAGATATCGATCGAGACGCAATAGTCATTAATTTTGGTGTAAAGGCTGACACGGGATCATGAGTTGTGTACATATTCATTCAGTAGCTTGTTGTTTTCCTATGTTATAGCATGATACTGTGTTAGTCTAGTTTATCACTTGGAATAAGTATATGTAATTTACTCTTTAGATGAAAACAACCCAAAATAACATGTTTTTCTTGTAATTTAAATTTTACTGTTAATTTTGCAAGAAGGAGCTAACGGATAATATGAGGTTGGACACTTTAAGGCCCTTAAGTATGCCTACAGACCAATTCATATAAAGCCCTGCAGGTCCCATATGAGCCAACTTAACAAAAAGTTGGACAAGCCAAGGCCATTAAGCCAAAAAATACAGTCCTTTTTTATTTGAAATTAATTTATGAATCAGTTGATCAGCGAACCAAATTTATTGCCAATTGATTAACCTGATTTGTTTTCAATCCATTGACTTAGTTAAGAAAAGGATCAAATTCATTACCCATTTATTAACCTGATTTATCAACAATTTATAATCATGCAGTTGGTAACTGGACCTAATTCTTTACCAACTCATTTAAAACTGATTTATTCACAATTTATTTATAATGCATTGGCTCATTTGCATGTAATTTCCATCTATAATAAATTGTGAATAAATTGTAAATTTATTTATCATTTATTATAATGATTCATTCCTATCTTTTTTTTTTTTTTTTTTTTTTTTTTTGGAGCGACCATCTTACCCGGAGTTTGACGGAAAGGGCCGACAAATTGCGATTTGGACCGAATTGTCAAAGTTATTACCCTTTGCTACTCTTCAACATAAAATGGATAACATGGATAAATATTTGACTGTCACTGAAAGATATTTCACGCAGAAGTATTATAAAAGTAAGTCATAAAGAGAAAGTAAGAGATGTATCTTGATTTATTTACAGTGGTATTATTTCTGCAGAATACATCTAAGTAAAGTTGTGTAAAGTTTTACAACTGACGATTCGTCCCATAAATACTCGTACCAATTTAGGTCAGATTATTGTATTGATTTTCCCACAGACTTGCATAATAAACTGATAAAATATGCCCCCTGAACCTACCATAAATTTGAGCTTTTGTGTTAAAGATATGATTTTTCTAGGAAAATAATATGCCCGACACATAAGATCTTGTTGTATTTATTTATTGATGTCGCGATAGCTCAGTTGTTTAGACCACTCACTGACCATCACTGTCCCGGGTCCGAACCTTGGTAACACCCTTGGGATTTTTCAGACACTTCCAGTGTTTCTCACCTACCTAGAGGTGTACAGGTAAAAAATCCAGGTAATCCTCGCATGTGTCACAGGGTGAAAAATGTGCAACCTGACCGGACTAGAACCCGGGACCCTCGGAATACCGTACCCCGGCTCTACCGACTGAGTCATCCGGCCGTTTACACATCTCCCCTATTGTAAAAAGTTCTGAACTGTGACCTACTCCCCTGCTATATTGAAATTCATCCTCGAATTTCACAGTTACAGAGCAATGCAAATGCAATCATGGCCCCACGTTGGGGATGAGAAAAATGTGCAGCCAGACCGGGACTCGAACCTGGGACCCTCGTAATACCGTACTGTGGCTCTACTGACTGGGCTTACACATGTATCAGTGCTTTACATGAAAAAGAACCAAGGGGTCCATTCAATATGAGCTAGGGACTGGTTCCCAGATTTCCTTGTACCCATAGCTGTCTCTGAAGTCTATAGCCCAACAAATTGTGCGCTTTAGGGCTTTTTATTATATGGACGATGGTCGCCCTTCGTAAAGACAGACATCTATGAAAAATCAGATTATAAAATCTGTCGGTCTTGCAGCCAAAATATTGAGACTAGGTGTCCATCTGTCCATCCTACACACTTTTGTCTTGTCTATAACTCGGCCATTTATCAAGGAATTTTGAAATAACTTGGCACAAACGTTCACAATGATAAGACAACATGTGATGAGAAATCACTCTAAAGTTTATGTAACACTGATAGATCACAGGTCAATATTGTCTGATGGAGAGTATATATTTGAATATATGTGTCTTGTCCATAAATTTTTATACTCACAAAATTTTTTTTGGTGTACATACATGTATGTTATGCACCTGATCGTCCATTCGCTAGTCCAAATAGGGATAGGTTGCCATCTAATAGTAAATACATGTAGAACAGCAGAAAACAGTAAAATTCATTTCATAACAATAGAGTAAGGGACCATTGGCCCTCTTTTAAACCACAGAAAATACATTGTTACAAAAGAAATGACCCTTTATTTCATTTACTGATTTAGCCAGATGTCCATTAGTCTGTTAGCAAGCTTCATGTTTAGTCTATATCTTTTGAACTGGTGAAAGGAAATTGAAATTACTTGGCAGAAATGGTAACCATAATGAGATGATGTGCAGAGCATAGGTTTGATCTGAGGAACGTCAAGGTCACCCTTATTCATGAAATTTTTTTTATCAATTTCAAAATTTCTTGTCTGCTCTGTATCTTTTGAACCGATAGAAAAAAATTAAAATTTTTGACAGAAATATAACTTATAGCGAGCTCGACGAGCTGGCCCGAACTGCTCGCAAAGCGAGCTTTACGGTAACGCGAGTACCTGCTAAGTGATGGTTTTGAAAACTTTCGTCCAAAGTACCGAATTGGACACATCGCAACCTTTCAAATTTAAAGATAGCGATAAAAACTGAGGAATTCTGACTGAAAACGGATGTGTAGACTGGTCATCCGTGTACGCCTATGGGAACCAAAATTGGACAGGGAACCAGAATAATGGAAGATGTGTATAAAAAATGAAAATCCAAGGCGCCATTTTGTTTGAAATCTGATAAATAAAAACAATTTTTTGTTGAATTTTGTGGTGAAAACTATCTAGAATGAAAGAAAATGGTCTAACTAAGAAAATGAATCCGAACACCAATATCTTTTATTCAGTCGTTAACGCTGTACAGACGTTTAAAGTATTGTTTACGTGACATCACAATGTAGCGCCAAACAGCACGTGCAAAACAAACAAATCAAGTACGCTATTTTAATGTCGCAAACGTTTTAAGTTTCACATTTATTTCACTTTAAATAATCTTTATTTCGCTTGAAAATTATAGAGTGAAATAAAATAAACAAAGTTTTATCAACGTTTTCAAAACTCGTTATTCATTTCACGAGCCATATTTAACACAGTACGTGTGACGTCACACGCACTCGTCACTGCATTTGAAATAAAAATGAGCGATTATTTCAACTATTTCACGTAAAAAGTACATCAAGCTCGCTTTGAGGCTTTGCCTTTTTCATATTAATGAGCAATGTGCAGAACACAAGTTTGGGCTTCCTGAGATCAAAATTGGCCCCGCCCCGGGGATAACTTGATTTGTATAGACTTGTACATGTAAAGGAAAACACACTCATTTAAGTTTCATTCTGTTAAACTGCCATCTCAAGAGTTTGGGTATTTAGCATGTTGCCTTATTGACCTTTACAAAAATGATATGAATCATGCATGCCCCTTGGTTTAATATTGTCCCTTGAGGTCACTTGATTTATATAGGCTTATAACTTATAAGTTATATTGGATGAACACGATTGATGACATCTGAGACTTATTATGTGAAACTTTTGAACTTAGATATTTGGCATATAATATCACTTTGTGGACCAAAAAATAACTGGTATTAATCATAACCCTGGGGTCATAAACATTTTTTATTATCAATTATTGGTCAATCACCTTTATAATAGTCAATATTGTTGAATATTTTGCAAAGTCCACTCATCATGACACCGAAAAAAATGAGCATGATGTATTTTTAGTTTTAAACAAATTTACATTCTAGCATCTATTGCACCGCTTTTGCGGTGCTCTTGTTCATCCATGTAGGGATAAATTAAAATGACATGTCATGTGAAAAAAAATACGGTACCCCAACCTCCAAGGTCAAGGTCACACTTGGAGATCAAAGGTCAACATTGTCTTATGGAAAGGATATTTTATGTCTGGTCAATATCTTTTATTAGCCAGCAAGGGATCTTGAAATAACTGCACACATGTTCACCATAAAAGTACAATGTACAATGTGTCATGCAAAACAACCAGACATCTGCCTCCAAGGTCAAGATCACAATTGCATATCATACTAAGGTCAAGATTGTGTAATGAAGGGTTTATTGAGTGTCTGGTCTATAACTTTTCCATATATCAAATGATTTGGAAATTACTTGTTACAAATGTTCACCATAAAAAAAAGTGCTATGCTCAACATCCAGACCCCTACTTCAAAGGTCAAGGTCTCACTTGGAGATCAAAGGTTAACATTGCCTGATGGAAAGTATAATTTGTGCCAGGTTTAGATCATAAACAAACAAATTTTTACAGTTACAGCTTTGAAAATAAGCGCAAAAGGTTGTGACAGGTAGTGCAATGTGAAGCTATAATGGTGAAAGTTTGTTTTTAGCTACAGATTAGCTGGGAAAACCCCACATTTGCCCGAGTTCCCTATAACATCTATTCCAAACATTTTAGCTACATGTAAGTGTCAATTGTTTTTTCTACAGTGTCATATTTGATGAAAAAAGAAAGGTTCAAATTTTATGGAACAGATATACAAAATGTATATCACATTTAACTAACTTTTTTATAAAACTATGAATTTAACAAAAAATGTGTAATTTAGTGTTGGAGTTATCTCTCCAACTTAATTGTATGTTGAATGAAAAAACTGTTTGTAATTTTACAGATACAAAAGATGACGGTGAAGACCTATGTGTACTAGTACATTCCAATAAGTAAGTGCAATTAACCATGTTAGTACTGTATCATGTACAACTAGCATTGTCTCCCTTTCATCAATTCAATAATTATACACTTTTCTATGCCTCCTTTAGTAATATTTCCATATTGGTATGGATTTATCAGTGAATTTGTAAAAAAATATGAAAAAGTTACATTTTATCAAGACATGTTTCACTTTTTACAGGTTCTGCTTCTTTAATTTTCTTCAGTTGACAAGTAACTTGGGAAATGACATAAACACTGCAAATTGATCTTGTTTTTGAGGCTCCATACATTATGAAATAAAATGTCTTTGACTGTTGTATACAATGATTTGACCATTTGTACACATGTATAGATGTTGTTATTCTTATAATTGCAAATTATCATAACAGGATCAAAAGATACATTTATATTCCAAGTCTAGTAAATGTATGAAATTAAACACTAATCAAATTATGCTAAGTTTTAGAATTTTAAAAAAAAATCCAGCTTTTATTAGTCTGTCGAAGTACAAAGGGCTCATAGGTTTGATTTTGTCATTGTCTGTCATTCGTTGTTGGTTGTCTGCCATGCCCTTATTCACACTTCCTTAAAACAACTTCTCCTCCTAAACCATGAGGTAGATTTTGATCAAACTTCAAAGGAATAATTGGACCGCGGTTCCAGCTAAGATTTAGCCGGCTGCAAAGAAACCTGCGGCCAAGAAGCCAGCAGCTCAGAAGTAATTCAACACTGACAAATGTGAAGTTATATATCTTGACCCCCAAATTCACTAGACACTATAGCAGAGTTCATTTGTATAGAAGCAAAAAAAATCTAGTTCTGTTCCTACTATTTAGTGTTGTATAAATGAGATGACAAAAATTAGCTTATTTTTCATAAATGCAATCTTGTTTATGATGAAATATGTGAAAAGGTACTTGATACACTTGTTTAATGAACTTAATATCTCCTATTTTCATTTTGAATTAGTGTGTTTTTTTTAGTTGTTTACAAGATAGAAGCTAATCAGATAGATTTTTATACATTATATGTAATGTGAGAAAAAGGAAGATGAATGTAAAATATATGATTGGGTTAATTTGTGACTTTAGTTTTGTAGTGTTAGTGTATAATATTATGTTGCTGTTCTCAGAAATAAACTATGTGAGCCGCGTCACGACAAAACCAACATAATGGGTTTGCGACCAGCATGGATCCAGACCAGCCTGCGCATCTGCGCAGTCTGATCAGGATCCATGCTGTTCGCTATCAGTTTCTCTACTTGTAATAGAGTTGGTAAGCGAACAGCATGGATCCTGAGCAGACTGCACGAATGCGCAGGCTGGTCTGGATCCATGCTGGTCGCAAACGCACTATGTTGGTTTTGTCGTGACACGGCTCATTTTATTGACTTGATTTGATGGATTTAGCATGACTGTCAGGTTTCATCAAACTCATTGTTATCTACGAAACTGTCCAATTATTTTCAACAGTTTCACGTGGTTAACGTTAAAGCGGCCATTAGCTTTTTTTAAAGGTTAAATATGTTATTTTTAGATAAATTGTTTCATATAACTGTCAAATCAAAAGAATAAAGGTGGAAAATGAAATTTATCACCGATAATATACAGTAACGATAAGGAAACCCCTTGATACCTCTTATTTTCCGGCCTGCTGTCTATAATTATGTAAATGAGTAAAGCGTATGATATAGGAAGCATACATTACCTTCAGTGATATTTCTCTTCTTTATTTTTCAGAATATGTATTATTTGTTTGGCAGAGACACATCCTATCGTAAAAGGCAAGAAAGCAGTAATTAGTGTAGATTACCAGTTTGACAAAGTTAATAGACTGTGTAACAAGGTCTCAGGTAAAGGCAAAAAGGTAAGTAGGTTTAAAATATCTTTATAATATGTTTGTATATGATTTAATCATGAGGCGCTTCAGTTTGTCTTAATACTTAATGCTTATGTCAGGGTTCATCTGCCCTTTCAGGACCTGCGAGTGTGAGCCCCATTGCTTGGGTTATATTTACAAACAACTGTTTATATAGGGCCATATAACTTGTCAAAAATCTTTATAACTTATAATATTTGAGTAAAGTTGGAGACTTCTTTTGATTTCAGATGACATTTCAGTCACGGTCAAAATAGCACTTTAAATACTTGTTATATGCCTAGGTCACAAATAAAACGGGCGCCGTCCGATTAAACGATTTTTATAAAATCGGCAGATTTTTTGATGTCGTGGATGCCGGGCGATTTTAAATTTTATTATTTGCGTGGTCATGAATGAAATAGTCGTCGGGCGATTTTTGCCGAGTAGATTTTACAGAAAGAATTGAACAGATCAGGCGGTCGCCTCCCGATGTCCGTACGGCGCCTGTGCGATTTAAAAGTGAATCGGACGGTTGCCGCGCGGGCGCCGGGCGACAATGACTTTACATTTAATGACATCCTAGATAAATCAGCTAGTTGTAATTATGCCAGCAAAGAAGTCAGCTGCCAAAGCCAAGGGGAAGGCGAAGGAGTTGGTCCGTGTTGTTGACAACGAGTCACCAACGACCAGTATCGAGGCCGTAGAAGACGAAAATCAATCAGACATTCGCATGGACATTGAAGAAAAAATTCATGTTTACTAGTATTCAAAAGAAATTCAAAAATATATTTTTGAGGCAATTACAACTTCTTCAAGCTAAAATTACAACAAACACAAGCAGCCCGGTCGCCGGATAACAAAACGATGACCGCCCGGTGCCTGTACATGAATTGTCCGGGTACCGGGCGATAATCGTTTGACTACTTGTCTCTTTTCAGGCACCGGGCGGGGCCCGGCCGATGTCCGCCCGGACGCCTTTTAAATCGGACGCTGTTTCAGTAGAACAAAAAATCGCCCGATCAAAAAAATCATCGCCCGGTCGTCGCCCGGCGACCGAACGATGTCCGCTCTATGATATTTATACTCAGTGACCCCAAAAATTATCGTCCGGCCGCCGTTAGCTTTTAAGTATTACTTAAAACTCGAAGGCGCCCGCCCGATGAGCAAAATTTTCAGCTGCTGCCGTCCGATAGTCACTACCGCCGGACGGACGCCGGCCGATATTGCGATTGTTTGGAGAAACAGACGCCGCCCGGCGGCATTTTCTTATTTGTGACCTTGGTTTAATCAAGTTGCATCTAGTTGTTCAGAAACCATTCAATCTGTTTTCATTCTTTAACAACAAAATATTGCGCAGTGTTATTTTCTGCCTTCAAAGTTAATAATTAATCACGAGTTTGATTGATCGTTTGTTTGCATTCTGTATAATATTATTGATGTGACACACTTCTTAGCCATATTGCTCATGTTATGAATTATTCAATTTATTATATAATCAATGAATGAGATCATGCTGGAAAGTCGGTCTGCTCTGCTGGGATCATTGTTGTATTTGTTTGTCAATTTAAGCATACATTAACATGCAGGAATAACTCATGAGATTTTTTTTCACAAGACGTAAATTATTTGAAGTTGACAGTACTCATGTAAGGGTATTGATACCATGAAATTACAAAATCAGTGTGTCATTTACTTAAATCTTTAAATATTGTCTTAATATGCAATAATTATCATATATGTTTATGATTAAAGTAACTACAGCTGATAAACTACTAAATAGTCAGGTGTCATAGAAACTACCAACAATAATTCATTCAAACTTCAATCAAAATTGCCCTTTTAAGCTCAACTTTTTTTTGAAAAATAAATAAAGGTATTGTTACAGTCATGTCAGCGTTCCCGTTGCCGTCTACAAACTTGTACCTTGATCATAACTTTTTAAGTTATTGGTGTATTTTCTTTATACTTGGCCACAAGAACCCTTTGGACAAAACCTTTTAGTAGATCTAACTAACCTTGACTTTTATTCATAAATGACCTTGACCTTTAAGGTCAAATGTCTAAATTTTGCTTATTTTTTGCTATAATTGGCTATAACTTTGTTATTTTTGAAACTTGATCATAATAATCTTTTAGGATAGGCCTTCAAGATAACCAGGCATACCTTGACCTTCACTCAGAAATTACCTTGACCTAGAAGGTCAAATTATTGAAATTTTCATTTTTTGCTTTAACTGGCTATTACTTTGTTGTTATTGAATTGATTGACTCCATATTGTAGCAGAATATTCTTTAGGGTAAAGCTTTCATGTACATCAAACTTAAATTGACCTTGGTTCTTTTATGATCTTGACCTTGAAGTTTAGATTATGGAATTTTCACTGAATTTTTGCTATAATTGACTGTATCTTAGTAATTAATTAATGGATTATCTTCATACTTTGACAAGGAAACCTTTCGGAGAAGACCTTCTAAAAGATTTAACTGACCTTGACTTTTAGCTTTAAATGAAAAAGTAAAAAAGTTGAGCATTGTCCCCGCTCGGTGGTGGCTCTTGTTTGTTTTGTTTTATAGATAGGTATACTATCTATAATGCATTGTTTTTACAATACTAAAAAGTCACTGTCAGTCAAATTGACCTTATATGATATTGACAGGCAGTAAAAAAAAGCAGATTTTATTAGTCTTTTTAGTGGAAGTATTTTTTTCTTCACAAATTCCAAGAAATTTTTCATTTTCACCCAGATAAGGGACTGACACAAATGGAAAAATGAAAAATTAATTACCCACCCTGGTTTTATGGGTAAAATGTTCATAATTATGACATGATTAGCCATTAACTCTGGAGTGAACTTTTGAAATGGCACTGTGTCAATTTTCCTTTCTTTTTCAGTTATTGTCAGCAATTTTTTTATGAAATACAAACTCAAACATGAATTTTAAATTTAAAATTATTTGGTTTGCTTCTGACCTTTTCCTTATAGCTACTGGTTAAAGTGGCAGCCTGTGGTCTAAGGTTAGCATGTGAGGGGTCTGGGGTTTGAAACTCGGTCCAAGCAACCAGAAAAATGTAAGTGGTTTTTTAGTGAAAACAAAATCAAAAACGTAATTTATTTCTACCAAACAATTATATGACATGGTGATTGAAAATATGCAGAGGGTGAGTGAAACACTAAAACAATTTATTTTAAATTTGATGGTCAATTTTGATGGTAAAATTTGATGGGTAAATTTGCTAATGCTTGAAAAATAAATGTAAAAGAAACATGTTTCATAACTGGATGCATTATATAGAGAACAGACTCCTTTCTGTATATAAATTTTTTTTAAAGAGATTCCTTATTCTTCACACTCAAATACATGTCATTTATTGGGCAGGTTAAAATCAACCACAAAGCCTAATCTAATTTAGGTACACAAAATTACTGTAAATTGGTTTAAATTACTGAATTATCGTAGTGAAAAACACCTTTTCTGTGAAAAAAAAATAACTATTCTTCTTTTCACATTTCTCTAACCCACTTGATTTCTGATATATTAAATTTTACTTGTCTTGTTTAGTTTTAGATAGTAAAACAATGAATCTCCTATTTGATTTAATTTTGGAATCTTTCCACTTGGACACCTGTTGTATGTAATCTGTTTTAATTGAAAAGTTAAGAACATTTTCTCTTGTGCTCATGACCTTTGTAACAAACACTGTTCCAAAAAATACACTTCCTTTGACTGATATTGTTGAAATATTGCAAACGTGCCAGTGACAGCTTCTGATATAGATGATGATTAAAGAGACATAACTGAAGAGTTCTTTTTTACTTTGGATTAGAACTAATTTTTCGAGATAAATGTTCCATTTGATGTTGGTCCATCCCAAAATCTGGTGTGCAAAATTTCAGATCATTTGCTTATTCTGTTTTTCAGAATAATTATTTTTATTGTGAAGAATGGCCCAAAATTGAAGAGTTGCATTATGCTTTTCACTCATTTTGTCAAATATTGACACAAAAATATTATTTTTAATTTCTTTCTGAATGCATTTTTATGCACCCCGAAAAATTTCGGGGGAGCATATAGTCGGCGCCAGGTTGTCCGTCCGTCTGTTGTCTTGTCCAGAGCATAACTTGAAAACCCTTGGAGATAATTTGTTTAAACTTTATACAGTGGTAGAGGGCATTGAGGGGGAGTGCAGTGTCAAAGAACAATAACTCTATTTTGCCCGGTTTTTGAATTATCTCCCCTTATAGAAAAATCTTGTCCAGTACATAACTCTAAAACTATAAGAGATATCAACATGAAACTTTGTAGGTGAATAGATCTCAATGGGTAGATGTGCAGTGCATAAGAACAATAACTCTTTTTGTCCTAATTTTGGAGTTATTGCCCTTTGTTAATTTTAACACTTTAAACTTTGTCCGGAACATAACTCTAAAATTGTAAGAGATATGAAGATGAAACATTGTAGGTAGATAGATCTCATTGAGTAGAAGTGCAGTGCAAAAGAACCATAACTCTGTTAAGCCTCATTTTTGAATTATCTCCCCTTTTAGAAAAATCTTGTCCAGGACATAGCTGTAAAACTATAAGAGATATCAACATGAAACTTTGTAGGTAGATATATCTCAATGGGTAGATGTGCAGTGCACAAGAATCATAATTCTGCCTTGCCTTATTCTGGAGTTATTGCCCTTTGTTTATTTTTACTTTTTGAAGTTGTCAGGGACATAACTCGGAAACCATAAGAGATATCAACAAGAAACTTTGTAGGTTGATAAATCACATTGATTAGAAGTGCAGTGCAAAGAACAGTAACTCTGTCTTGCCTAATTTTGGAATTATTGCACTTTGAACTTTTTCTAGGGACATAACTCTGAAAGTACAAGAGGTATACTTTCCTGTATCCAAAACCTATTCGGGGAGCATCACCCGGCTCAAACTGGGCTCTTGTTAAATTATCTTTTACATCTTGCTTAACCCATTACCTAATATTAATAAACACGCCTTTTAACGCTGTTTCACCCCCCCTTCCCCCCGTTTGTTGTCTGAAATGGTGAAAAAATGCCTTATTTAGACCCCCAACACTTGTTTTTGTTTGATAAATGTTGCTTCAAAAAGTGACCACTTTTTTGGCGCCATCCCCCTCATCCAAAAGATACCTCAGGGGGTTGCCAGAAGGGGGATGTGTTAAGGGTTTTTGAAGAGAACCGTAGTCCCCCTCATAGCTAAGAAAATTTTGGACTTGTGAGAGGCTAAAAATGACACCAGGTCCATTATAAGGTAATGTGTAACCAATGCTGAAAAGCCTTTGACTCTATCTCAATCCATTGAGCAGTTACAGCACTTTGAAAACAATTTTTATGGAAAAAATCAACGCAAAATAATGATTTTTGGCAATTTTGAGATGTCCCCTGGTTGCCATGGTAACAGGAATTTTAAGACTGAGCATGTCGTTACAAAGGCAATGGTCCAGTCAACATTTGTCCCAAGTTTGAAGCAGTTTTTATAGTTTTAAAGCAATTTGAACTTGTAACGGGAGACTTTTCAATGAAAACAGTCGTTTTTCACAAAATGCTCATGAAGTAATGGGTTAACTGTCCAAGCTGATCTGTTAGAAAATCAAATTTTATGTTTTTTGGCTTTTGGACCTTATGCAGTGGAGTTCTTTTAGGGAACTTATATAAACCTCATATGCTATAAACTAGTGAAAAATAAATATGTCCATGTGCATTATAAACAAAAAAAGGTGCAAAAAGGGTAATAAGGTAATTCTGCTGTCTCCAGCAAGGTATGGGCTAAACTGCCTGCTTCGCTAAATTACTCGATTTTTCTGGTGAGCGATGTTTATTTGGACTTGTTCGACAATCATTGATTCTGGCACATTAAGTGTTGAAAATTGAGTACCGCTCAAGCAGGTGCTAGGGGGCTCAGTTAAAGTTCATATCCCTAATGTAAAGACTGAATCAAACCGAGTCTGCAATTTTTATGTTAAATTTTGTTGCTTTTAATGCTTCCAAGTGATTACTCCTTTTCCAGATTATTTATTAGTACATGTGATATTTTGACCCAGAGGAACTAATACACATACTCATTTTGTAGATAAATATTAATGTTTCAGATTGTAAAGTACAGTTGTACAGCTTTATTTCCAGAAAAATCTAACAATTTTAGAAAAATATGGCTTGTGTTTCATGAAACCTGGAAGTTTGCCTGCGAGGTGTTAATATGAGAAAATCTGTTTACTGTTTACCCTTTCTGGAATCAATGGCTTAATGAAGGAATTTGGCACATGTTTTGAATCACTTTTCTCATTTTATCATTCATTATGCATGCTTATCATGATTCCAGATTTAGAAGCAGATCACATGCAGCAGAGTTTTAGATCTAGGGCAATGTTAAACTTAATGTCCAATTTCTGTATTTGCTTCCCTGAACAGAAAAGTTCTGAAAGGTGAACATTCAGTGAAGCCCTGATAACAACAATTTTTCTTGTAACAGCATTTTTCTTCCAACCAAGTACATTTTGACTGAAATTTAAGGGAATCTTTAAGTGGTCCCTGTGAAAAATGATATTTTGATTCATAAATTGGTCACAGGACCTAAAAGTAGATTTAAAAGAATGAAATTTATAATCATATTTTCCCAATTATGTCATTAAAAGTTTTAGATTCTCACGCTCCATATAAACAAAAAAGGGTTAAACGAAAAAATCAAAATGATTGGTTCACAGATGATATAGCTAATGCAATAAAGGAACGAGATTTTGCAAAAAAGAAAAATAACATTGAGGAATACAAATACTGGAGATCGCAAGTCAAGGTGCTTTCTCACAGATCAAAAAAAGAATTCTTTAATCAAGAGATATCTTCAAACAACAAAAACCCTAAAAAGCTTTGGAAAAATCTAAAAGACCTAAGAGTGGAAAAGCCGAAAACCACCAAACTAGTTACATTAATGATGACAATGGAATTCAGTCTATGACCCTAAACAGACAGCAGAAATATTTAATACATTTTTTTCAAATTTATTCAAAAATACAGAAAATATTACAACACTAACCAGTACAAATGAATATATACTCAAAGAAATGTTAAACAGCAAAATTGACCAAAATACACCAAAATTTGATATTCCACCTACAGATCCAAGCCAATTCAAACAAGCATTAGATTCACTAGATGTTACAAAGGCTACTGGACTTGATGGCATTAGTGCTTAAATTTTTAAAACTGCATCCCCTGTTATATGTAGACCAATTTCTACTATTATCAATTTGAGTATCAAAACAGGTAAGTTTCCTGAAAAATTTAAACAGTCTAAGGTCACACCATTTTACAAAAAAGGACACAAATCAGATAAAAATAATTATAGACCTATATCTGTTCTTCCTATACTTTCTAAAATATTTGAAAAACATGTATCTGATCATTTAAAACAATTCTTAGAATTGTATAATTTCATTTTCAACACCCAATCAGGATTTAGAACAAAACATTCATGTGAAACTGCATTGACAAATGTTGTTGACAATTGGATCAAGGCAATAAATGATGGAAAGCTAGTTGGCACAATCTTTCTTGACTTGTCAAAGGCATTTGACCTTGTAAATCATAAGTTACTCATCCAAAAACTTCATTTTTATCAAATTTCTTCTTCTGCAATTACTTGGTTTACATCATATCTTGAAAATAGATCACAGAAGGTCAGTGTATCTGGCAACCTATCAAAATCAGCATCAGTTATATCAGGGGTACCTCAAGGATCTGTCCTTGGACCTTTGCTTTTCATCATATATATAAATGATCTACTACTCCATTTGAAAACCTCAGAGGCAGATCTTTTTGCTGATGACACTACTCTTACAGCAGCAGGTCTCTCTATACAAGATTTACATGATAAACTCCAAGCTGACCTTGACAATGTAAATCTGTGGTGCAAACAGAATGCAATGATGCTAAACGCAAAGAAAACAAAAGCAATGAACCTGTCATCCAATAATAATAATAAACAACAATTACAACCACTACACCTGCAAGAACATGAAATTGAATTTACTGAAACTGAAAAGTTATTAGGTGTTCATATTGACAATAACCTTAAGTGGAAAACCCAAGTAGATAAGACGTTAAAGAAATGCAATACTCAGTTGTACCTTCTTCTAAGAATAAAACAGTACCTTGATGTAAATACAAGAAAACTGTTCTTTAATGCTTATATCTTACCACATTTAGATTATTGTTGTACAGTCTGGGAAACTGTAGCAATGAACAGATTATGGATATAATAAAATTTCAGAAAAGAGCTGCAAGAATCATTCTTGACAAAAGTTATGATGCCCCATCTACTGAATTATTTAATGAATTAAATTGGATAAAATTTGATGAAAGAATAAGATACAAGAAAGCTGTCATTATGTATAAATCATTAAACAATGCTTCATTTCCAAAGTACATGAAAAACAAATTTCAATTTATTCACCAAAAACATGAACGTAACCTAAGGTCAGCAAAAAATTCAGATTTATTTATACCTAAACCAAAAAAAGAAATTTTTAGAAAATCTCTGACTTACTCGGGCCCCAAACTATGGAATAATAAAACTCTCTCCATACGTAAATCTGAAACTGTTGGAAAATTTCAAGCATCCTATATCAGTTGGAATCTCTCTCAAGTACCTTGATCTTACATAGATTTAGTGTAAAGTAATGTATGTTCATGCATTGTACATGTATTTTGAATATGTATTGTGTTTTTAATTATTTATTGTTTCATAAAGTAATATATTATTATATTTTGTGTTTTCATGTGTATATGTATTTTGAAAACTTCACTGTATAACCATGATGTAAATTATGTATACATGTATTTTATGTATATTTATGTTTTTGAGGCCCACATGGAAGATTGGGAAACCAAATGTGTAGCCTCATTAAATAAAGACTTTACTTACTTTACTTACTTACTTACTTACTTACTATTTTATCTGTTTTCTAAGAAGTGCATGACAATGGTAACTTGATGGAAACCTTAGTATGACAGCAGATGTATTACTAAATAGTTAAAAAGAACTATTCTTCATACAGTAATTAACTGGTTGCATTACATTCACAACATAGTATAATTATAAATTAAGTTTTCTTGAGAGGGGAATTGCCCAAGGCCAAAAGATGACCCCTTTTGATTTTGAAATTGCTTTTGGGCCACCTAGGATCAAGGGGACAATCACTGTTCTAATAATAGAAAAAAATGTTTTTGCTTTCAAAATATAACAAGACCATCATGATCCATCTGTCTTGGCAAGTGCTTACTTGCTTCCCTCATAATTTTATAGGAAAATTTTCATATTACTTACAACATTTTTATATTTTTGTATTTTAGGGTGGCCAAAATTTGACAGCAGATGCTCTATTGTGTAGGGTGTTGTGTGAAGATGGTAGCAAGTTTTATATACCATGTGGTTTAAAGTGTCAGTTGCTAGAAACAAATGATAGCCTAAAGAAGTCACCTACAACCCTTATAGAAAAGGTAACATGTTATAAAATCACTTATTAGCTCCCCTCATTTTGAGTTAGTAAGTCGAAATTTCAAGCTAATAAAAAACACACACCTGGCACTAATGCTCTTCCGCAAAAATGGAGTTCAACTCTTGATGACAAAAAATAAACTTAGATTAATCCCTTGACTGTGACCCTTGAGATTTGAAGCATCAAGTATGGTTGATGTAAATTTGTAATTTTAAATTTTAAGGGCTAACAATGTAATGTCTAAGATTAAATTTTTTTGATTTTTTTTTAGGTTTAGATTTTTTAAGGTACAGTTCTACAGTATCTAAACGGGGGTGTTAATCAAGAAATAAAAAATTATTAAGATAAATGGAATGTTGCTGTTTTAGTGTTAATTTCCACTGGCTAAAACAGTACTGTATGGAAGAAACCTGCATAGTATGTTGCCACCAACGCTGGCAACTGTCAGGGCAAATTATTTTAATACAAAATCCATGGCAACAGATCAGGGCATATCACCACTGATGTGAATTAAAACATTATTGATTTACTCCTGTAGAAAATTTATTTTAATAGTTTTCTTTTTTAAGAAAAAATATTAAGTTCCAAATGCATAAAGATGTCAAGGTAAATCAAATGCTAGAGAAATGGAATACATTTTATTAGCAAGTGAAATCCAACATATGAAAATATTTATCTTAACCTGATGCTTTATTATGTTAATTAAATCATTTTACTGATAAAAAAAACAATACACTTTTCATAATAAACATATAAGATAAAAATATTTTCTCACAAATAAATTAATGAACGAGTCCATAATGACAAATCAATATTTTAATGATAATGCAAAAATGTTTTATTTTTTTTGTTACTTGATGTATCCATGAGCAAATGTTTAAAGTGTGACAAAAAATATTCTTACAGTTTTAACAATGTGAAATTGGTGGGTTATGTTAAGGAAGCCACAGCACAGCTTTGAAGAGACAATTATGCATCCATCAAAGGTCAACTCATGTGTGAAAAATTTAAATGTTCAATCTGATCTGTGATATAAAGGTGTCTCTATTATTCAACATTGTATTTGTTTTCATGATGTATGATACATCCTTGATTTTAATTGGAAACAGAAACTTTGAAAAATTTACTGCATCCAACTTATTTACTACAATTTGCACATTTTCCGTAGGTATTTCAAATATTGATATAAAAAAAACACACACACACACACACACACATAAGAAATGTATCATTTAGATATTCTTATTATTCTTTTCTAAAAAAATATTAAAAGAATTGCAAGTGATTTAGTATAATGATCAATAATAATATTTTGTTTAAGAACAAATTATTATCTGCTATAGCCTATCTATAGATATGCAATATCCAATAATGTATTTTGTTAATCTTACCAACAATAACCAAAAAAAAAAGTTTACCAAATTACTAATTCTGCTTTAAAGAATTATCTCTTTTTCTAACAATGGATATCAGGTGAGTGATCTTTGGCCATCTTGACTCTCTTGTATATGAAAAAAAAATCAAACTCTGGTAAATTATAAAAATTCACAGGGGCTCTTATTCAGTTCACAAAATGTACTAAATTGAATCAATTTGAATAATCAAGTGAAGTCCTGAAAGCTGTCATGTACATTAATTATTTGATAAAGATTTTAACTTTAAACACACATAATTCTTTTCAAGCTATTTTTGCATTAATAAGTTTTAAAGGCTATGACTCCTTATTGAATTAGAATGTGAAATTTTAACCGGTATTTTCTTTATGTTTTCAGCATCTGAGTGATGGGTATATTGCAATTGTTATGCCAAAGTTGAAAGAGTTTTCTGGTGAAATGATGGGACTTCTGTCAAAGGAGGCATACTTTAATGAGGGTAAGGAATAATTTACCAATAATAAAACAAACTTTTTTTATGCTCCCCAAAGTCCATCAGTCCACTTTTCTTGCCTGGGACATAACTCTGAAATTATAAGAGGTATCAACATGAAACTTTGTATGTAGATAGATCTCATTGGGTTAAAGTTGCAGTACAAAAGAATGATACCTTGATAACTGTTATGCCTAATTTTGGAGTTTTTGCCCTTTGTTTATTTTTACACTTTGAACTTTGTCTCGGACATATTTCGGAAACTATAAGAGATATCATCATGAAACTTTGTAGGTAGATAGATCTCATTGGGTAGAAGTTCAGTGCAAAAGAACTTTAACTCTCTTTTGCCTAATTTTGGAGTTACTGCCCTTTATTTATTTTCACATTTTGAACATTGTCCCGGACCAGGGTCTTTCAAATAGAATGGTCTGGAAACACGCTATGTAAACCCTTCTCACCACAATTAAACATGTCTCGGTATAAATCGGTATAGTTTGCTATAAGCAAATTATGTAAGTGTTCAAGAAAAGGGCGAATATTAAATACAAGAGCAAAAATAGAAATTTTAACGACATGATGTTATTAAAAAATCTTTAAACTTTTGAAAAAAGGATAACTATTTCAGGAAATGATGTATTTTAAAGCCATCTTTGTTAAAAAAAACATAGATTGTTTGTTCAGAATATTTGCCGATAATCGGCGCCATTTTGAAAATGCACCAAATTAAACATCAAATATTTGCAAATAACATCGTGAAATATTATAATATTTTTACATGATACGATTAAATAACATCTTTTCTCTATAAATCAATTTCTATTTTGTCATAGAACAATGCATAAATTTAAAAAAAGCTCATGAAACTTGGACCTATTTTCAAATATGAGCAGTAGATTTTTACCTTGACACCGGGAACGAAATATTTCTAATTTCATTGCAAATCTATGAAATTGTTACTTTTAAAGTAAAAACTGATAATATAATGTAGTCAGAGATAGTTTTTAGTAATTTTTTGATTGATTTTACAAAACATTATCTTATAATTTGATTTTGAATGGTGATGTGCTATGCCAGATCACGGTCGGTAGATAACCCAATCACGTGACTCAACTGAGACAGCATTTTTCGTAAAATTGGTCTGTCTCCAGACCATTCTATTTGAAAGACCCTGCCCGGACATAATTCTAAAAGTATAATAGATATGAACAAGACACTTTGTAGGTAGATAGATCTCATTTGGTAGATGAGCTTTCCACAAGAAACGTAACTCTGCTTTGCCTAATTTTGGAGTTTAATAATTGCCCTTTGTATATATTTACATTTTTAACTTTGTCCTATGTTTGGAATTATTGCACTTTGAACTTTGTCCAGAACTCTGAAACTACAAGAGGTATACTTTTCTGTGTCCAAAACCTATTCGGTTCTTGTTATTTACAACAGACATGCAATTCTGGCTTAAGACTGTCCTGTTGTCCTTGTTGTCCAAGTTTGTATTCTCCAAAAACATGTAGCCAGTTTTGCCCATTGTTAAAAAAAATTGAAGTAGACACATAAATGACCTTGACCATCAGGGTTTTGCTTAGTTGGCTTTAATTTTACTATCAATGGATGTATTGTAGTATTTCTTGGACATTAGAACCCTTTGAAAAATAGGTTAAAGTAGGTTAAACTGAACTTGACCTTGACCCATAAAATATGACCTTGACCTTCATGTTTAAGTTATTCAGTTTTGCAGAAATTGGCTTTAATTTTGTTTTTTATTCAGGTTAAACATGCTTTGAAACAATCTGTGTCCTGATTTGAGGGTGTCCTTGAAATTCAATTTTATAACTTGTTGACCTAAATATGCAATGGACCAGAACCATTTTGAATTATCTATTTAGAGCTTTTTGCAAGGAATATTTAATTTGAATATAAAAAGTGCTGGATTTTGAAAACAAAATCCTTAAAGTGGAAATAACAGTTTAGAAATTGAAATGATTTTTATTAAAAAACAGAAAGGGAAAATTTGCAGATAAATTTTATTTATCCATAATGCAAATTAATTATGCATATTCATGAGTATGAAATTAAATGCATAATTTATTTATATCTGTTGTTGTTTCATCACTTATTAGCTTACCGGAGTGCACCTATTGTGTTCATGTTTGTTTTAAGGACCAATAGTCCCTTGTAAACAAAAATTTATTTTCATTGTCATCTCCTCTGTAAACACAAGGCCATTCTAAATGAAATTTAAAAAGTTTGTTCAGATGGTGCTGATCCATTGTATATTTGGGTCATATGCAAGCTTTAAATATCTTCTCCAAAGGCCCAAATTGTGTAGAGCTTAGATATTTAGCATGAAGCATCGTTTAATAAGTCTCAACTTTATAGCAACCATTTTTTAATACCAACTAGTGGTTTCAATTATAGCAATCACTGACTTCCCTTAGCAACACTTGATTACAATTGATTTCAATAGCAAAAGTAAATTCTAAGCAACCAGTTTTGCCATTAAAACCGTCTATTTGCTACTACAATCACTGACTTTCCATATTAATCACTGGCATAATTAACAACCATTGACTTCACTTACCGAAAATTGACATATCATAGCAACCACTGATATCTCTTAGCAACCGGTGTTTTTTTGTAGTGACCTTGATATCAATAGCAACTATGCATTTTATAGGGACCATTGACTTCTATAGCAACTATTGATTTCTGTTAGCAACCATTGACTCCAGAATCCATACTTGACTCCAGAATCCATACCTACAAGAAGATTTCCATAGCAACAATTGATTTTCATTGACTTTCCATAGTAACTGGTGACTTCCATAGAAACCATTGGCTTTCTGAGGCAAATAATTGCATCCATAGTAACTACTGATTTTAATAGCAACCATAAACTTCTTGCAACAAATATTATGCAACTATTGATTTTCCATAGCAACCAGTGACAGCCATAGAAACCATTGACTTGCTTACTAACCAGTGACTTTCCCTACCAACCAGTGACTGCAGTAGCAACCAGTGACTTTCTATAGCAACCAGTAACTTCCATACCAATAATAGATTTTTTCCATAGCAACCTTAGTGACTTTTAACATGTACGCTATTTCAGATGCAGATTTGAACTTTGATATCATTTAACTGAATACCTGGTTTTCATTCATAGTAACTCAATATTTATTGTTCCTTGTCATTGAGAGCCTTGATTCAGGTCAACAATATATGGGCCATTGTGTCCTTTTAATTACAGTTCTTGTGTATTAACAGCTCAGCATGGTCAAAATAGGGTGATTTAAATGTAGACTCCAATTTCAAGTGGTTTCAAGATTATTATGGTTAAAACTCAAGCAGTGTGCTAAAGAAACATTGTTGGGTTTATAAGAAGAACATAGAAATATACATTATAGGAGAAAATGCACAGAAAAGCCATGAAAATGATGACATAAGCATCGACAATACAGGTTAAAGTCTGTGATAACCTTTGTACACAGAATATAATTTGCTTTAGCTTATACAGAATTTATTTAAATCTGATAATGTAGGAAGCTTATAGCTTATAAACGAACTTGCGAATCTGTTCCTGGAACCAACCAGTACATGGCAATGAATGTAAGTTTCTTGCTCAAGGAAATAATGGCTTGCCCCTTACAGGTTTCGAACGCGCATAGCTAGGGATCCTTACTTGTTAACCACTTTGCTGCCATACAATTAATATGCTTTTACATACATGTAGAAATCTTTGTATCTTTGGTTAAAAATTTGTTTGCAGGAAAGTAAATGCAGTATTTGTTCATTCTTTGATCTTCAAATGACTTTTATCTTTATTGTCAAAATAATGCATTTTCATAAAGAAAGCGCTTGCCCACAGTGTAATGATTTGGTTTGGAGATTATTTAACACTAGCAGCTGATCCTTATTTATTGGACAAAAGGTAAAGCCAAACTTGCCTGAAATTTGGTTTGAATGTTGCTCATTCTTTGAAGTATTTTGAGGTCAATAGGTCAAAGGCCATGGTCACTGGGCCTCTGACAGCTAAAAAATTGGCTGAACTTGGGGTCATCAGTTTCATATAAACATTTACATTTGTGATATTTGAACAGTCATAGTAAATTTTATTTACATGACAGTTATAATGTCCAGGTAACTTTAAAATTATGCAGGACTTTGTAAGAGTTAACACTAGTTTTAAGCTTAAACACAAATACCATTCTGTCATGTGAGCTACTTAGAGGCCACTCAGGCCCCTGTGTTTCCTAGTTTTCTGTAAAATGTACTTCAAGTATTCATGTAGTTATTCTAACATGCTGATAGATCACTTTGATATACTGCATTCAAAAAGTGATTAGAAGCTTACATTTACCCGTATTTAAGGTCACTAGGTCACAAAAAGTTAAATAGGCAATACTTGCATCTGATTTGATGATATATACACCAGAGTGGACAAGGTGAAAAGTTTATCATTATAATAGCCTATCACATTACTCCAGTAAATTAAACAAACAGTCATCATTATAACTATATTTAATGGTTTGACATGCGATCAAGGTTGTCTGTCTCTTTTAACAAAATAAATGATGAATCTTCTAAATTTGGACCATTTGAAAGGATTAAATGACCTTCAAGTCACTTTAGTAAAAAGTGTTAACAATGGATTGTATACCAGTGAAAGGTCATAGATGGCATTTAATTCAATATTGATAAAAGGTGTTTTCAAACAAGAAAAAGAAAACTCTTGACATTAAATATACACAAAAGAGAAAAGAAAATGTAGTGTATGTGATTTAGTAATCATAATTCATTATATTGAAAATGTATTGCCCTTATTCCCTAAGTATACAGTGTATTTTGTCTAGACCTAGTCTCAGTATTTCAACTGCAAGACAGACCAAATAATACAAACTGATATTGCTTAGATGTCGGCCTTTACAGGCAACCATCATAAAATTATAATGAAAAGCCCTGGCACACAATTTTTTGAGCCAGAGGACACCATCCGGTTAGCACAATAGGTAGAGTGTTAGACTGTGAATCAGGTGACCCTGGTTTGATTCCTTGATGTGCAGGTCACTTTCATTGTGATTGAACATGAAATCTTTTTTACCGTTATTCGTACTGTACCTCTGCTCTGGCATGTACAGAAGTTATCAGTTCCTTGCAAAAGTGAAGGCAACTAGTACTGGTAAACTGCTTGACAGCATGCCCAGGCATGAAGCTGTGGCCGAACTGGTAAATTCAAAGTTGCAAACTGCTTGTTGGGCTAGTCAAGAAATCTGCCCAATTTTTTCTTTGGCAAAATGTTTAATTTGTTCTAACATAGCATCAACAGTGTTATATTATGTTTATAGCAATTTCTAAAAGCATTTTCATCATCATTATCAGCAATGTCATCATTATCACTTTCAACTTTGTTTTGCAATGCAATCATCATAAATTGTACTGTTGATGTCGGTAGAAGAGAATGCTAACTTGTATTTCTTTCAAGGAGTGTTGAGCTAATATGGCAATCAAGATTTTAGCATCAACTTCATCATTTAGACTTTTTTTTGTTATAAATGTCAAGGCCAAAGACCCTGTTCATTATAAATTTTAAGCCAAAGACACTGTCCATTATAAATGTCAATGTCAAGCTCTATTCATTATAAATGTCAATGTCAAAGACTCTGTTCTTTATAAATGTCAAGGCAAAAGACTTTGTCCGTTATAAAAGTCAAGGCCAAAGACTCTGTTCATTTTAAATGTCAAGGCCAAAGACTAAGTTCATTATAAATGTCAAAGCCAAAGACTGTTCTTGAAGAATGTCAAGGTCAAGGACTCTGTTCATTATGAATGTCAAGGCCAGAGATGTTTTTCATTATGAATGTCAAGGCCAAAGACTGTTCATTAGAAATGTCAATGCCAAAGACTCTGTTCATTATAAATGTCAAGGCCAAAGACTCTGTTCATTATAAATGTCAAGGCCAAAGACTCTGTTCATTATAAATGTCAAGGTCAAAGACTCTGTTCATTATAAATGTCAAGGCCAAAGACTCTGTTCATTATAAATGTGAAGGGCAAAGACTTAGTTCATTATAAATGTTAAGGTCAAAGACCTTGTTCATTAAAAAATTTAAAGTCAAAGTCTCTGTCCATTATGAATGACAAGGCCAGAGATGCTTTTCATTATGAATGTCAAGGCCAAAGACTCTGTTCATTATAAATGTCAAGGCCAAAGACTCTGTTCATTATAAATGTCAAGGGCATCTCTGAATTGACACTAAATATCCAGTCCAATGTCACCCAAGATTTCCTATTTGTTCTCCAGATTCTCAGTCATTTTTCAATGTCTATGTTTTAAAGCATCTGGGTTGTAAGTCTTTCCGAGTAACAAAGGTTTCAACTTTTCCCCAGTGGCACTGCTTGGTAGCATGACTGTGAGCATTTAGAATTAGGTCTCTAGCTCAAAGGTCAAGGCCACACTCATCTGTCAGAAGTCATACTAGGAATTTTTATGCCACCACAATCTTACTACTTTAAATTACCTTGATCCAGCAAGACCCAAAAGGTCAAGTTCATAGCAAGTTCATGGCTGGTATGTTGAAAGACATCGAAATGTCCAGTCCATTACTGTCAATCATCTATGGATTTTAAATAAGTATGTGTAAATATTTGATGCATCAAGCTTATGTGTGACATGTTTAAAGGTGCTTTGCAGCTTAAAAATCAAAATTGCACTGGACTTGGAAGGAAATTTTGTGTATTGATGTTCTTGTTTATAAAGAAAATGCAAGCTTCCATAGGTATTTTAAAGGTGTGAATTATTGATATTTTCAATAGCCTCAATCATAAAATAATACAACAAAACAAATTACATTAAGGATATAGAGCTATATTTTATGCAATATTTTCATAAAGTTAATCAACAGTATATTTATTTTGTTTCCATATTCTATGTTTGAGTCTCAAAAAAAGTTGTACAAAGAAATGTCTATAATATATATAATCAATACCTCAAGCAGTTATGCATATGAAACAGGTTTTCCGGTTGAATAGTTTTGGCTAAGTTATGGCTTTTAATTTTAGCCTGTTAATGATGTTAATGTTTCCTGCTACACAGTAGCTCCAACATGCAATTGGCTATCATCAGGCAACACATGTGATCACTGATCGCTCTTTTTTTTAATTCAAATTGTTCCAGCTTGATACACTTTAAATTGATTGATTTCAATAAAATATAACACATTGATATTTTAATCAGGCTTTATTTTTGAAAGACACAAACCGTTATGCCCGAAAGCAAATGTTTACAAAATTCGGAATGCAATGTATATAAAATGATAAACAATAAGAATTATAGCAACATGTTTAGCACATTTGTGCACTTATTATAACATAATAATAGGCTCATCGCTATCTTGAATCACCATCAATCTCTCCCTACGAACACAGTTGCTTCTGTTTATTTTGAAATATTAAATCATATGATAAAATATAGTGACTCATCGAACAAACAAATAAACAAAATGGCGTCAACATTCGCACCAATTAACTAAATTATTTTAAATCTATAACCAATAGTAAAGCAGTTAACATGAAAAAATAAACAAACAATTATCAATCAAACAGGTCTATATCTATAACTTTGATAACTGGTCTAAACAAAAACAATAATGTAGGAACTTGAGTGCTAAAGAAGGTATGCTTGTATTTTTATCGAATTAAAATAAACAAATGACATCCAAAATCATATTATACCAGTAATTAGACAAACTGTGTTCGTTTCTTTCATACATGTAAATAAGAGAAGTACAACTGTTCATTACCCACCTACACGTTACTCGTAAACCTTCTAAAATTGACAAAAGTAAACTACGGATGATAAAAATTGCCCTTTACTTGAGATTCTATTAAGGGGTGTTATGTTTATCCGTTTAAACGGGTTTTGATTGGGTTTTAGCAACAACAACAAAAAGCCCAGATAATTCATAAAAGTAACCAAGGTTAGTATTAGACCAATAGCCAAAAAATGATTTTATATATTAGTTTGTTTTATCAAGACAAAATTCAGGATTTTGTTTTTAATTGAGATGTTCAGACCTGTTGTTTTTTTCCTCCTTATTGCATGAACAGAAAATAGTTATAAAATTATAACACATCGCAATAAAAATAAATATTAACTAAATGTCATAGTTGTCATAAAGAAAAAAATTAATATATAAAATCTAAGAGTTTCTTTTGGTATGGTCGGTTTAATACAGTCAACACGGTTATTATGTTACAATTTAAACGATTAGCATTTTTGCTAATCTTGACACCCCAAGTTATATTTGTAAATGTGATGATTATGCAACAAATTATGAAAGAAATGATTTAAAACAAGTTAATTATAAAAAAAATGACGAAAATGTTAATGCTTTGCAATTTAGCTTTGATTCTGTGTCAGTTAAACAGAAGTTAAATCATGCAACAGCTGAGATGATGCAGTAACTTGAGAACTGTCCAAAATTTATACCACGATGATGCAGTAACTGGAGAACTGTCCAAAATTTATACCACGATTTAGGGCATAACAGACATTATAATCACGAAAAAACCACGTGCCTCACATACGGCTCATTATAACTGACTGCTGCAAAGTACTTTAACCAGATTTTCATTGTAATATACATCATAACTGTTTTACACTCTATACATACCAAAACAATCGCACAATCAAACCTCGCACTTATTTTTGCAAAAATAAAAACATTTATATAATAACTCTATTACATATTATTAAAAAACTTAACAAAACACCTTTGTCTTGGAAATGGACAACCAAGACTTAGTGCCATACAATTAAGAAACATGCTATAAAAAATACAATTCTTGCAAATACAGTTTAACTGTCAAATTACTCAGTAATGTAGGCTAAATAAGGCAATAGAAAATAAATAACTAGATTTTCAGCCAATTTTTTTTTTTTAAAGAAATAGTGTAGATGGGTTAATCTTATTTTTTACTTTTCTACTTTTTATCCTCAATGTAGACTTATACAAAAAAGGAAATACATGTATATAAGAATTTGTAGTTTTATAAGCAAGTATCAAATTGTGCAAAGATTCTATGTATGAAGAATAATATAGAAAAAAAGAAATATTTTAATTTGATTGTTATGTTTTATGGAGCCTTTCATATTCTGATATCTCACAAATTGATAACTTCACCAAAGAGACACAAATATCTACCTAGAAAAAACAAAATCTTTCAGTATGACTAGAGAATTATTAAGTTCGCTATCAGTTCCTTTACTTGTAATAGAGTTGGTTAGCGAACAGCATGGATCCTGACCAGACTGTGTGGATGCGCAGGCTGGTCTGGATCCATGCTGGTCGCAAACGCACTGTGTTGGTTTTGTCGTGACGCGGCTCAATTAATATCACTTTGATATCAGTCGAATATGTAATGGCTGAAAAAGTTAAAACGCTTTTTTCAGGATTTTTTTTATTGGTTTAAGAGGTTTGTGTACATACAAAAATCAATAAGGATTTAATTATCAGACTGAATTGCTGATTGGCACTAAAGTGTTTTTGTTTCATTTGGTACTAGACTTTACAAATCGATTATAAAATACACTTTTTTTTTACGAAATAAAATACATTGAGGCAGAGCAATTTTTGCCAGGCTGGTGGGATGGGAATCTAGGAATTTATTTTCTATTGCCTGAATTGAAATAAAATAGAAACACTAACTTATATTAAAGTGTGAAAATTTGGTCAACCTGTAGAACTCTCTTTACAAGTTACGAGAAAAAAAGCTTGTAAAATTATTACATATCACAATAAATGGATTTGATCCATATTTAAGTACATTAAAATACTCCACATATTAACGTATGCACATTTTTCAGTAACATATTTTCTTTCCCCTAAACTTATGCACCATTTCTTTACATATAAAACACTGACCAAAAGTCACTGTCTTGCCACATTATGTAATATATTATGAGATAATTATGGTTTCTTTAAATTATATTGCTTTTCATCATTTTTCTGTAATCATATTATAATAATAACATCAAAAACATATTTCAGAATAGTATTTTCATATTTTTTAAATGTTTTGTTTTTTGGGTTTTTTTTTCTGAAAATCTTTAAACGTTAAAAAAGTATCATTGTGAAGGCTCGTTTATATATAATGTCTGTCAGAGAAACAATATACAGGAAAATAATCCTGTCCTCGATGAATTTTCTAAGGAATCTACTTCTTGGCCCTTTTCTCTGTGTTGTTTGGCCTTTTCGTCGATATTGCAGTTCTAAAAGCATGACTGATCTCGTTCAATAGTTTAAACTCGTTGAGATCAGAATCTATGTTGAACACACACTAATAAATGGCAAACATTTGTAATGCACCAAGAGCTGAAATATCACATACGTATTTTTCGTATTTCTCCATATGCAGTTTTTGCACTATATGCAGTACTTTTCCACATTTAATTATCAAAATAAAAAAAAACTAACGAAAGAACACTTTCACGCACAACTGCATCTAACGACGATCATTTTCTGCATGTAAGTGTATAACACTGTGTGTTGATGATCAAAATAAAGCATAGCCAGTGGAAAAAACTTTGAAGGCGTACAGCAAGGCCCGCTGCTGCCATCAGGAGTCTGTTGAATTAAGTAAGCTTGCGGATTATTCTCCATATGTCTATATCTACATTCTCCCGAACAATAGTTGGCCATATAGCCAGTTGGCGCTATTACCCAGTCCCATCCAAACTGAACAAAGTCCACCCTTAAAGGATATCTACAACAAGTGTCTATTCTTTCCTGTTCGGAACAAATGTTACTTAATGAGCGTTTTTTTCTGTGTTGGTAACTTCCATGTTCCGTTGTGGACATTTCTAACATTGGAATCTGAAAATATATATGTTATATTTGTACTTTATAGAAAGGAAAAGTGAATGGGAAACATTTTAGACAAAGAGTTTCATAAGCAATACCCTACAGTTATCAGTTTAAATCTTTATACAGATCAGAGATAAAGTTCTTCATTTTGGTAAATTTTCAAAGTTGTCTGCATATGCATTTGTATCTTATACCTGTAAATGTCTATTAGAATGCGTAGAAAAATGTCTTTTTCAATTTATACTTAAGAGAATGCAGCAAAATCCAAAATTCATGTCGGGTTTATTTTATGTTATCTTCTACAAAATAATGTAAAATAGCCCCTTTGGTGAAAATATTCCTGGTCGAGGGTCAGTTTTGTGACATTGAATTGTATAGGGAATTGAGAGGATGCAGATGTTAGAAATCTTTTTTTTTTTATTTGGTTGGGTTTTACATTGCACCAAGTTCACAGCATAGGTCATATGGAGACTTTTAAGCTTTACTGGTGGAGGAAGACCTTGGGTGCCCTTCCTTCCATTATTTCATGCACAAGCGGGCACCTGAGTAGAGCCAACAACGTTAGCTGGTTATTCATGTTAATAAATAAAACTTACAAGTGTGTCATCACTATCTGTGTCAGGAGTAACGATATAATTATTCCCTTCTTCATCTAATGCTTGAATAATCACCCCTCTGTTCCCGCCAGGTTGTTTTATCCAGTGGTGTACGATATGAGCAAATTTGAATTCCAGCCAACCAGGGGATGTTGTTTTCTTGTATCGTACTGGCCCCTTCAGTATATGCTCCGGCTTTGCTTTTTGGGGAACAACATAAATGTAAATTTCAACTACAGATTTTTGTTTGAACGCCTCTGGTTGTACATATATCCATAATGAGGCATCTTTTATTTTTCTAGATGTCACCGCCTCTGTCAGTTCGAAGTAACAGCCACCTGGAACTTGAATGTTGAAGTCGGTCGGTGCTGGAATTAAAAAGAAGAACGCTTAGTTCAGAAGCACAGAGATATTTGACTGTTGTAGAGAATATCATGTACTTTATGATGCTCGAAAACAGTGATATGTACTTGGGACAACTTGTAATGATAATGATAACAGTGAGGTGTGCATTTACAACTTGCAGTGATGATGGATTAAAGTGATGTGTACAATGGACAACTTTAAAGTGATGATAACAAACAGTGAGGTGTGCATTAATACAACAGTGATGATGGAAAAAAGTGATGTGTACATGAACAAGTCGGAACAATTTGAAGTAATGCTAGTTATTAAATTTGTACATGGACAACTTGTAGTGATGGTGAAAAACAGTGATATGTGCATTTACAACTTGCAGTAATAAAAGTGATGTTTACACGTACAACTTAAAGTTATGAGTAAAAACAGTGATAAGAATAGCTTGCTGTCCATCAATCTGTTCATAGACAATTGGTTTCCACAGGATAACTTTGATTGTTATTATATTTGGCATTTAAGTATTTGTTACAGGTATGTTATATCAAAACACAGGTAAAGTTCAATTTGCGCTGCAGTCTACTTGTTATTGATAGAGCTATGACCCTTTTAACCAAAATGTCTGTGAAATCATTAGTTTCCACATGATAATTAATGTTTATACTTAATTGGTATGTAAATAATAATGTTATATCAAGTTCAATTTTTGCAGCAATCAACTTATTATTGATAGAGGTATGCCCACTTTTAAACAAATTTTCCCTAAAATTATTGATTTCCCCAGGATAGCTTTTGAAGGACTTCAGTGATTGTTTTTTGTTGTTAGTCCCCTACCGGTTTAACCGGAGGGGACTTTAGATTTACCCTCCGTCCGTCTGTCCGTCCGTCTGTCTGTCCGTATGTCTGTCTGTCCGTCCGTCCACAAAACTGGATCCCGCGATAGCGCAAAAAGTACTGAAAATATTTTTATGAAACTTAATATATGGATAGATGGCAGTATGGAGATTATGCACGTTTTTTTCTTTTCTTCCTATGTTGAAAATTGTGGTTGCTAAGGCAACTAATAGTCTGATAATATGGCAAATTTAAAACATAAAATGGATCCAGTAATAACTCAAAAAGTACTGAAAATATTTTTTATGAAACTTAAAATAATGGGTAGATGGCAGTCTGGAGATTAGGCACATCTTTTTCTTTTCTTCCTATGTTGAAAATTCTGGTTGCTATGGCAACAAATAGCCTGAATTTCAAGATTTCTGATTTAAATTTTTCAGCTTTTTCACTATATGTTCTTTATTTCTTAAGGTGTTTACTTCAAACTTTAAATATAAGTTTCTGGTCATCAACCACATCATATGTGACAAGGTTTATAACTCCAGCACAAAAAATATCAGTATTACCTCCCTTGAACTTAGATTTTTTAGGGGAAAAAATGTTGTCTTTTTTAAATAACTTCTTTATTTCCTAATGTATCTACTTCAAACTACATATATATGTTTCTTATTATCACTCAACATTTTTGAGAAGGTTAAATACTCTAGCAAGACTATTTCCAGAATTATGTCCCCCTTGAACTTAGATTTTTTTCGAGAAACTGGTATTTTCACTCCAACTTCTTCATTCCTTATAGGATTTACTTTAAAATCCCACATCGTAATAATATGACAAGGTTGTATAAACATAATTTCCTTACTAAGCATGGAAACTTAACACATTACTGTGATATAGACAAACTTATTTTATTATGTTTTGTGGTCGATATTTTCAAATACAGACTTCATCCTCAAATTCATTATATATTGGCAATACACAGGAGTGTATGACAATTAAAGAACTTTTTGAGGGACCGGTAGGGGACTACTGTATTGCCCGCAATACTATCAAATGCTTGTTGTTGTTGGTTTTTATTTTTTGCTATAAATTGCTTTAACCTTTGTTATTTATGTAAGGATTATATTCATACTTGGACACAACAACTCCAAGGATAAGATGTTCAAATATGTATAAAGTGACCTTGATCTGTATATGACCTTAACTGTCAAGGTCAAATATGAAACCTGAATTAAATTCTATAAACAGTAATTATGTTGTCTTTTAAAGCCCTTTAAGTGGTGGTATGCCCACAAAAAGAGTAAATGGTGAGTGTTCAGGTGAAATTAAAATAACTTCTCATATTGGAGAAAAATGGAGTAGCCACCTGACTTGTGACCTTAGTATATCCAAATGTAAGCATATCTGTCTGTCTGTCTGTTAGAAAACTTGTCAGAACTACTCCTCTCACAAATTTTATCAGTATTAACAGGTTTTTGCAAACGAGTCAGAGCCTGCAGTAGAAAGCATTTTCTTTTTGAGATTTATAGGGAATCACCTTATCTGTTATCAAATTAGATGGTGGGATTTAACATGTCAACAGTACATCATTGGTTCAATTTTTGGTTCAGAAACTAGAAATATTGTAAAGTCCCTATGTTTAAAACCATGCAAGGTGATGCCCACTGCAGTGATGTTTTAGAAACCAATGTAACATCTTGGCAATTATTCATTATCATGTAGGAAAAAAAGATAGAGTAATTTTCCTGTAATGTGTAACTAAAGTGCTTGTTTGACATTCATTGAATAATAAAATCTATATTTGAATATTTGATTGTAAAAATAATATCAACAACTAATTTCAGAATTCACAGAGACACATTTATAACTTTATCATCAATAGGTATTTTGTACTTTTAGATTTTCCAAAAATAAATGATTAGAATTTAGATAAAGTACTTTCTAATTTTAACTTAATTTAAGTAGACTTTTATATGATATACTAGTAAAAAAAAAAAAAGAATTCAACAAGTTCTAGCATTTACCAATATCTGAAAATGCAACATAGCCATGCATTCAATCAATTTTCCAATTGAATTACATTTTAACACGCAATTTTACAGCAGAGGCAATCTGTAATAACAGATCTCTGCCTTTTACTTTTACCTGCCGTTAAAGGCCCATTATGCCGTAGATATGCTATTATTTTTATTTCTTAAAAGCTTTTAATTTTAGTGTACTTTTATAGTATCCAAAAAGTTACTCATTGGCCAATTACCTGAACCATCTTTTTTATCTGTTGCTTTTTTGCAATAAGTACAGTTACAGTGAATATTTTTTTTGTATGGAAGTCAAAATACTACTTTGTTTACATTTTGCTACATTTATGACAAATTATTTCACATTTACTGCTTTTTCCTGGTAACAAGCATTTAACATTCTCTAAAACCATTAGTAGTTAAACATTATCAAATTCATCTTTGCACTTTCTAAAGAAGTAAAAATTTATTTGTTTCTAAGGGAAAAATATGCACTGTGGCATTTTAAGAGAAATATTATATTTTTATGGAAATGTTTTTCTCACCATTTTGGGTTCATGACAATACATCCAGAATTGGTTATTTTAGTGTTATTATAAACAAAATTGGAAAAACTGTCACTGTATTATATATAAAACAAATAATTTGGTTCAATCAAGTCCTTTTATATTTATATTTCACTTATAAAGCATGGTCCAATATTTGGAATGCAAAAATTCTGTGTCATAGTGCAGTTAAAGGGATATTCAGGCAAAATAATGACAAAAATATTAAAATGATCTTATGTACTCAAACCTTGCTATAATGACATTTCTTAAAGTTCCAGGATGAATTTCTGTATAAGTTCTATATATTTTGGGTTTGAAGCGTAAATATATCTATTTATGTTGAACAAAAATTAAACACTAATAGAATCACCAAATAGTTTTAAAACAAGTCATGTAACTCGAACAAACCTTTGAAGTTACAAAAACAAATATTGTGGATATTGTATGATTGAAACAAGTCTAAGTCATTTATTTGACATGTTTTTTAACCTATCCCGAGTTCACTGAAACAACTATTGTGAAATCCTAGCGCTCTAACCTGACCCACGCGGGTCAAGTTAGGAAACCACCATTTTATTCTTTATATGGAGAAAAGTTTTGTTCCTTTGACTATCTAATGTATTTATTTTGAGGGCATTTACAGAATAATGAATGAAAATATCAAAACTAAGAAATGAAAATTTTGCCTGTGTCTCCCTTTAAGATGTCATAAAATGACAAATAATGTTGTTGCTTTTTTCCCTTTGAATTTGGAATTTTCTCTCAAAAACATACTTTTTTAGATTGAACATGACCAGGCGATATGACCTAATATATTCATCAAAATGGGGGATTGGAAAAATATAACTATAACTTTTTATAACATATGTAATTTATTAAAATAGTGCAAATTTGATTATTAAAGAACTCCACTGAGGTTTATAGGCCTAAAACTTAACATTTTAATTTTTCACAAAGATAAACATGAGCACTTTAAACAGAAAACATAAATAAAATATAGCTAAGAAATATACATGAAATACATTGAAAATTGTATGTTTGTGCTATTCTCAGTCCGATTTGAGTGAAAAGCGTTTAAACGCTTTTCAATTTTGGGTCATTTTTCACTATTATAATAACTATTGTAGAAAAACGGAGCGAGCTAATGATCTGAAATTTTGCACATAAGTTATCAGTATAGATCGACATCAAATGGAGTAATAATCTCAAAAAAAATATTTCCAGTCCCGTCATGTCAAAAAAACCTCAGTGGAGTCCCTTTAAGCTGATAGCATTGTTTGATAAAAGACATATTCATGATTGTGTTAATTACTGTGGTGAGTGAATCATACAGATTGTTACCTATCTGTACTCAATGTGCACTGTGATTTTTTTTTATCATTTACAAACCAAAATTATTTTTATTTGAGGTCAGTATATGGCTCTTGTTTAAAATTTATTACCAGGGTAGTATATTTAACATCTGTGTTTTATTAAAACATGGGGCATAAATTATAACACTGGATTGAAAGTTTTCGAGATTTTTCCCTGCAGAAAACCTTTTAACCTGGTTAGTTTAAAATACAAAGGCTGCGCATTAAATCATCTTATGATTTTTATGTCATCTAGTATTTTATTGTTATAAATGTGTACATAGCATATTTGTTTTAAAGAGTTTATTACCCCCTTGGTTTTGGAAGCTCTATGCATGGGACTTGTCACCAGCTGTTGATAAATACAGCTGTGTTAGGTGTCTACTTATGTACTCAGTAGGAGTTACATATCAAATACAGTCATGTTTCAATTGTTATTTATGTTGATTTAACCCTTATAATAAAGCAGAAGCCTATCTTTGAAGATTTTAAGTTCACTAGTATGATGGGAGTAGAAAAAGAATTACATAACAATAAAGAATAAAAAAGCTTGGTTGTAGTAATACACTAGGGAGCATTTAAAAAAAAAACTTCACATGCACTGAAATGCTTAGCTTTAAGTGTCCTTATCTGAATACATGTACAATCTAATATTATATATATATTATATTTTAATTCTAGAACTTCAACGTTGCCAGATTTTGTAGAAAATGATACTGTACATTTTTGTAATATAGATTTGTTGCCTGAAGATTATCAGTCCGATATTGCATGGTCGAGATTTTCTAAAGATAAAGGACATGTAAATAACAATGGGCACTATTTGCTTGATTTTTGTAAACAAACTGGTTTTCGGATAGTGAATGGAAGAAAGGGTAAAGATGAAAATGTAGGGAAGCACACTTTTGTAAATAGGCAAGGTTGTAGTGTTGTTGATTATTTATTATGTAAAAGTTCTATGTTTTTTAATATTGATATGTTTGAAATTGACGATCCTAATATTGTTTCTGATCATTGCCTGATGTCAGTCTCTTTTGTATTTGATACATGTAACTTACTTGAAAGTACACATGGTCACTCTTCCGTAAATAA